GCCATGATCTAGCAAATATGACTTTGGGTAGAAGGGTATAACAAAAAAAGTTGGGGAAAGGCATCGGTTGGGGAGAAGTCAGCTGATGGAAACAAAGGAAGAGTTGGTTATGTTGTTGTTGAGCAGTGGCGAGCTGAACTATTTTGCTGAATCAGCACCTCATTCCAGTCGAAGGAACGCCAAGGAAAACTGACCCGAACTTCAACAACTCAAGATTTCTAGCCAATTTCCCCATCTGTCCTGTTTCATTTGATTTTTTTCTTTTTAAACGAATAGCTGCACATTTCTGTTTTAAATTTATTGCAAAACAGCCTTTCCAAGTCAGAATCATCTTTATTTAAAACTAAAATCAGAAGAATATTCTTGAAAACTAGCTTTGGCAGAACCCTCATTTGGCTAAGCCCTGCATGTTCTGCCTTTCTGAACGACACATATTAATAAACGCTGGGTTTTAAAATCTTGGCTTGGACAGAGAGTAAATAGAGAATAAGGGAAAATCCAAGAACAGCATTTACTAACCGCTGGGTTGTTTGCTTGCTAGGCCGTCTTCCGAACAAGATTTATTCATTCAGGTCAAACCTAATAAATTAAATACATATATGAAGAAGCAAGAATAGTTCAAATATTTGAAGTACAGGCAGATCTGGCTTTTCCATTAAAAAGTCATTTTCAGGCTCCTGAAACTGAGTCATTGATACTGAAGAGGGGAGAGCTATGTAATAGTGGGGAATGTATTATCAATGTATGTACAAGTGGTATCCAAAAATATTTCAAAGTCAGAAATTGTGGGAATGAAAAAAAATACTATTCACATAACAGCTCCATATTAATTTGCACAGTAATATTCTATATGCTGCGATTAAACCTTTTGGTAAATTATTATCATTCTGGCCTCCTGATTTCCTCCTGCCCAGCTAGGCTGGTAAAAGGAGTGTACAAGCGAGAGGTCCATTCTTGTAGCACTAAACTATGGTTTTAGCACATCATACAAATGCAGACCACGGTGTTTAAGGAAAATATGTTAAAAGCCTATTTCATTCTATGTCCCTTTAATGTTTGTTTTCATTTTGACATCTTGACTGGCACTCTCACATTGTGTCAGCAGGAAGAACTAAATCCATAAAAGATGCAGTCAAGTAAAACAATAGCAGTAGTCGTACCTCGGCTCCCAAACGCCTTGGAAGTCGAACGTTTTGGCTCCCAAACAATTGGAAACCGGAAGTGAGTGTTCCAGTTTCCGAACTTTTTTTGGAAGCCGAATGTCCAACGCGGCTTCCGCTATTGTTTCCAGCGCGCCTGCGCAATTGGAAGCTGCGCCTTGGTTTCTGAACTTTTCAGAAGTCGAATGGGCTTCCGGAACGGATTCTGTTCAACTTCTGAGGTGTTGTTGTTTAGTCGTTTAGTCGAGTCTGACTCATAGTGACCCCATGGACCAGAGCACGCCAGGCACTCCTGTCTTCCACTGCCTCCCACAGTTTGGTCAAACTCATGCTGGTAGCTTCGAGAACACTGTCCAACCATCTCGTCCTCTGTTGTCCCCTTCTCCTTGTGCCCTCTGTCTGTACTTAACTAACTGACCAATCACGTTGGTTCTGCCCCCCCCCCAAATCCTGGTTACGCCCATGCAGTGAAGGCTGTTAATCAACCCCTACCTTGCTCAATCAACTGGGAATGGGAACAAAGTCAATTTACGGAATCAAGTCAAAATGGAAGATTGGGTCTATGTGTGTACCACATGCCTTAAGAACGTATATCTCAACTCATTTAAACAAATTGTGCCCTTTTTGCATTTGCCCACTGGCTACACTCTCTTGAGCAATGAATGGACAGCCTGTTCAGCCCTCCTTCCTTCTGATTCATCAGGTCCTGACCACACCTTTCAAGTTTTTGTTTTGTTTTGTTAAAGGACTGATTCCAAGAGTCCTGAATTCTATGCCAGACACCCCTTCTGTGCTTTCATGGTCCAACCACATTACTGTGGAACGCACCTGGTCCTAGCAACCGCTTTCAAGGAGAGCTACTTGGATACCATAGAATCATAGAGTTGGAAGAGACCACAAGGGCCATCGAGTCCAACCCCCTGCCAAGCCGGAAACACCATCAGAGCACTCCTGACATATGGTTGTCAAGCCTCTGCTTAAAGACCTCCAAAGAAGGAGACTCCACCACACTCCTTGGCAGCAAATTCCACTGTCGAACAGCTCTTACTGTCAGGAAGTTCTTCCTAATGTTTAGGTGGAATCTTCTTTCTTGTAGTTTGGATCCATTGCTCTGTGTCCGCTTCTCTGGAGCAGCAGAAAACAACCTTTCTCCCTCCTCTATGTGACATCCTTTTATATATTTGAACATGGCTATCATATCACCCCTTAACCTCCTCTTCTCCAGGCTAAACATGCCCAGCTCCCTTAGCCGTTCCTCATAAGGCATCGTTTCCAGGCCTTTGACCATTTTGGCTGCCCTCCTCTGGACACGTTCCAGTTTGTCAGTGTCCTTCTTGAACTGTGGTGCCCAGAACTGGACACAGTACTCCAGGTGAGGTCTGACCAGAGCAGAATACAGTGGCACTATTACTTCCCTTGATCTAGATGCTATACTCCTATTGATGCAGCCCAGAATTGCATTGGCTTTTTTAGCTGCCGCGTCACACTGTTGGCTCATGTCAAGTTTGTGGTCAACCAAGACTGCTAGATCCTTTTCACATGTACTGCTCTCAAGCCAGGTGTCACCCATCTTGTATTTGTGCCTCTCATTTTTTTTGCCCAAGTGCAATACTTTACATTTCTCCCTGTTAAAATTCATCTTGTTTGTTTTTGCCCAGTTCTCTAATCTAATGCAACCAACTTCAAATTCAGCACATGACCCCGCTATTTTAACAAAGATACTACTTGCTGTCATATTTGGCGAGATGGGTTATCACTTTATTCACAAATTAGTACCCATTTTAAAAAGCACTGTTTGGAACATTCCCTTCCCCTCATAATTGCCTATTCAGTTCCATAATGGCATTCGCAAAGAGATTCCTTTGAAGCCCAGATAAAGATCTTGTCACCATGATACTCATTTTCACTCAGTGATGAGAGCACTATAGTCAGCCTTCACTTTTAGGATATAATGGAAATTTAATTTCCATATCCATTTAGTGTGTGGCCTTTCCCTAAAGACTACTCATAAAAGTATTTTTTGATGTCCTGAGGGAAGAGCTCTTAAAGCTCTTATTCTCAACTCTGCACTTCTGTACCGCTCAATTTGTACTTTTATTGCAGAATAGTGGGCACCTTTCCAGAGCCAAGGAAAAAGACAAAGGAGAGCTAACAGTACACAAGGGTTAGAAATTCTTAGTAGCCGCAGTGGAAGAGACTCAAATCATTCAGTTTGGAAAGGAACTGCTCAGGGGGTTGACATATGAAGTATGCTAATACTTTGCTTTTCCCTCGATGAGCAGGCTTTTCTGCTTTCTCTAGTCTTTAATTGACAACACTTCAAAGATTCCTTTTGTTCGATGGCGGTGCATTCTGGGATTCAGGGCAACGTTTTGTTTAGATTTATATTCCACCTTTCATCTTTTGTGATCCCAGAGTGGGTAACCATTTAAAAAGCTATAGCTAAAGAAAATAATTTACCATTAAGAGACATAAAATAATACATCAGCCAATGACAAAAGTATCTCCAGCAGCATTACTCCCCACAACAATAAAAATGTTTTTAACTGGCATCAAAAGAGGGCCAAAGATGATGCCAATCATATTTTAGAACCCTCCATTACACATTATGGCTAAAGAGCAGAAAGAAAGTGAAGCCCAGAGAAAGCAGCCATTTAAAATGCCCAAATCAATTGCTAGGTAAAACCAAATCACAAATTATTTCATTTTCTACATGGTTGGTGGAATTTTCAGATTTTTACACCAACTGCTTCACCCATCATGCAATACCAAACCATTGCTAAGTATGCAGGCTCCAAGAGAGACCATTGTGGCCACTTTGCTCCTTTCTCAATTGTGCTACTGATGTGCTGCACTAAATCAAAGTATGGCTTAGTGTGTGGACTAAATCTGGGTTCACGGTTTAGTTTTCCCAAATTGTGAGTCATAAACCACAGGACAAACCTTGGCTACAGCTCACAATTAGTCTGGAGAGAGCTGAACCACAAGGTTGGGCTAGAGTGAAACACTAAGCCAAACCATGGCTAGATAAGTGATGCAGGGCTATCCATCCCCACCCCCAAAAAACATATACTGATGCCAGACATGTTATTTTTATGTTCAAAAGTCACTCTGGGCATGCCAACCTATGCCTTGAGATGATCAGGCTGACTTTCAGGATTTACAAATGTTTTTGCATCCCTGCCTAGACACAGTATTATGAACTGGCAACCAAGTGAAAAAAACAACAACCAAAATATTATTTCCCTGAAGGAAAATACCATATTATGTTTTTTATAAATACCATATCAGGTTCAGATCTGGTTAACTGCAATAGCAATTTCCCCCCTTTTTGTAATGTATACATTATCCTTTCGTTTGTTCTATTTTGGTTTCTACCTGGCTACTATTTCTTGTTTCTTCTTCTTTGTGTCTTCTCTTACTCTGTGCACTTGCAATTTTGTACTTTTTATAAAGAATATAAAATTAAAAAACCAAAATATCATTTTCCTGAGCCATTCATCCCTCGGACAAGATTTCACATATTTCTTCATAAAATGTTGAGTAGGACCACCAACACGCGTTGAGCATTGAAGCTGCTGTGCTCCTGATGTTTATCACTGACATATAGTTGAACACAGGACACTGAACCAAAATTGTAGCTAAAAGGATAGTCTAAGAAAGTCTTGCCCCTTCAACTGTAACAAAATGGCACAAAATGTAACAATTTCTAGTTACAAGTTTCACAAAGGCCTATTTCCAAGTTACTATTCTGAAGGTAAAGTATTAAAATAATGGCCCTCACCAAGTACTTCCTAGAACAAGTGCCTAAATATGATTAAAGTTTATTCAAAGAATTATGCACAAGTTTTTCTTCTTCTTTATTCAACATTCGTCTTATCAGCTTACTACAATTTGTAACCATTGGCTTAGATCCAAACTTGGTCCAGTTTAGAAAACAGCCCTTGAAATTAAGCCTTGAGTAACAAGACCCATTTATTTCCAGGTTCTATTCACAAGCATGACAATCCAATTTGTTAGGTGCAAAAAGATCTAAAGACATTTGATCAAAGTTTGTGGCTACTCTAATCTGGTTAGTATTGGCCCTGCCTGAGAAGGCTCTTCCCATGGTGTCTGGATTATAATCAGTGCTTTGACTTAAATTTAGGGGAAATGCCCTGGGCTCCACACTTTTAAGGACCCCCTAAATCTTGCACAAAATCCTGTCTGCCTTGCCATTAAATTTTAAATGCAGCAAAAGTTGTTTTTCCACTGTAAATAGAATTCTGTGTAATTCTAGAGCTAGGTTTTCAATATTGTTTCCAAACAGTATTTTTGTATTACTAAATCAATATCCAGTGAAAAGTTTAAAAAGGCAAAGTACCTTCCATGGTTGAAATTCTAATGGCCTTTTTAGTTTATGAATAATGGACTGAATTAATAAACACACAAGAATAATAAGAATAATAATTTTATTATTCGTACCCTGCCCATCAGAATGGGTTGCCTCAGCCACTCTGGGTGGCTTCCAACAAATATAAAAGCAAAACAAAACATCGAACATTAAAAACTTCCCTATACAGGGCTGCCTTCAGATGTCTTTTAAAAGTTGCATAGTTATTTAGCTCCCAGAGGGTGTTCCACAGGGTGGGTGCCACTACTGAGAAGGTCCTCTGCCTAGTTCCCAGTAACCTAACTTCTTGCAGTTATGTAACATTTAATTGAAACTTGCATAATATAGCTTATATGGCAAGTTTATGCTGCATTCTGTGATGTCTAGAATTCATGAAAACATCCAAATTGGTTTAAGGTGATGCACAACATTATATTTGTTAGTCATTAAAGAAATTTAAATTTTGCAGCTATTGCAGACATCTGTTCAATATACAAAAAGTGTTTTTCAGCACACAGAATTTTGCATCTTTACCATTTTTATTATCCTACTCTTACATAGTCTACCGCTAGGTAGTGACTAGGACCACACCTGTCCAGCATCAATGTTCCCAAATAATTCATCAGACATCACCTCTTAAAATTTATTTAGATTTATAACTGCATATTGAGTGTTTTACCATATTGAATATTCTTAATTTTTGACAGGGAACTTTACTGTTTCAGCAGTCATTTACACAATAATAAAAGCACACTTTATCTGTGAAGGTAGCACAGATTCGTGTTTGAATTTGTACAAAATAAAGTTATCAAGTCAAGCTGTACAGTTACCTTTTTGAAACTTAAGAGAGAAAATATCCATTATTAAACTTGATTTGTACATTAAACTGGGCATTCTTATAGAACAAAAGGAATGTTACAACAAAGCAGTCTTCATGTAATTTAAAATGCAAAGGCTTTGGTTGAAAAGAGTCTGTAAATGCACCCAAATTTCTTCAAGCTGGGGTGACAGTCTGGATAGTTCTGCCAGCAGATCTGGTTCTGATGAAAGGATTTTTAAGTGCAACTGAAATGGAAGCATAAAATGAATTACATAAATACATGAATCAAATTTGATGGAACTCATTTCTTAAATTTCTTGATTAGTGTGTTAAACCACCACATCACTTTTTTATTAGTTAATAAAAGTTGGGAAATATCCACCATAACACGATGCCAATGTTTCACAAACTGATCAAAGTTTTTTAAAAAAAAATTCCTTCCAGTAGCACCTTAAAGGTAAAGGTACCCCTGACCATTAGATCCAGTCATGACCAACTCTGGGATTGCGGCGCTCATCTTGCTTTATTGGCCAAGGGAGCTGGTGTACAGCTTCTGGGTCATGTGGCCAGCATGACTAAGCCGCTTCTGGTGAACCAGAGCAGCGCACGGAAATGCTCCCGCCGGAGCAGTACCTATTTATCTACTTGCACTTTGACGTGCTTTCGAACTGCTAGGTTGGCAGGAGCAGGGACCGAGCAACGGGAGCTCACCCCGTCGCGGGGATTCGAACCGCCAACCTTCTGATCGGCAAGTCCTAGGCTCTGTGGTTTAAGCCACAGCGCCACCCGCGTCCCTAAGTAGCACCTTAGAGACCAACTAAGTTTGTTATTGGTATGAGCTTTCGTGTGCATGCACACTTCTTCAGACGAAAGCCCATACCATGCACACGAAAGCTCATACCAATAACAAACTTAGCTGGTCTCTAAGGTGCTACTGGAAGGAATTTTGTTTGTTTGTTTGTTTCGACTACGGCAGACCAACACGGCTACCTACCTGTGATCAAAGTAAGTAACTCATATTAGCAACTCCCCTCAGATGAGCACTGTAAGGCCAAGCAGTGCTATCACACAGCAATAATGAAAGTTTCAGTAGGGGGAAATGCTATTGCAAAAAGGAACGGATGCTGTCAGTCATTCTTTATTCAGTGCCAAGTGTGTCTCCCCGCCCTCCCCCCCCAGCGCATTCAAATTGGGGGCTTCTACGGTAAGCAAACTGTGCTGCACAGAATGTCACTAGCAATTGTATCAAATGATACACTTACCTTCAGAAACAACGCAAGGTATGCCTGAGCCAGTTCAAAGTCACATTTTGTAGTCAGCATGGCCTCAATCATTCTTAGGAAGCTTTGCATCACCCTAACAGATCCACCGCCATCGGGGGACAAGCCTCTCAGTTCCGCCTCTGTGTTAGATGGCCCCATGTCCTTCAGAATACGGAGTGGAGATTTATCTGTCAAAACAGGAAGAGTATGGCTACAAGTTCTAGAAAGTGTTACAGAAATGGGGTGTGTGTGGGTATATGTATGTGTGTGTGTGTGTGTGTGTTTGTGTGTATGTATCTCTCTCTATATAATCTATACTATATAATCTATATATCTATCTATATCTCCCCCCTCTATATATATCTCTCTGTCTTTTAAATAGTTATCCTATACCCTGCATCATTCAACAATTTGGTCATAATCCAAATCGTTCATTTTATGCAATTAAGAGAACAGCACAAGCTGGTGGAATTTTATTTGACCCTTTTTTTGTGTGGGAAAAAGAAGATCCCTATTTCCCAAAGTCATGCCATTTGAAACCTTGCCTCTTTGGTAGCGGGAGGCTCTAGCTGTGCATATGAGCCCCTCCACTTGTCGTACTTTTCCGTGTATAAGACTAGGATTGTTTCCTGAAAAATTGCGTTAAAAATCGGGGTTCGTCTTATACACAGATATTGCATAGCGGTGACGTGGGATTGGTTGCTGCCGTGAATCGGAGATTGTCAGTGGCTATTTGGCGTGTTATTGGTGGCTGCGGCAAGGGCTGGCATTGATTGGCTGTTGCTACAGCAATATGGAAAAACAATGGAAACTAGCCAGTTAAACATCTGGCTAGTTCAGACCTTGAGCTAGGTTAAGAGCTTTGAGAACTTAAAGAAGGAAAGTCACTTGATCCAGGGACAGCCCACATATATATATTGGCCTATTCCAACCTCTTTTTCTTAATGGTGACTGCTCCTGCTCAGGCTGCACAGAGAAAAAGCAACTGGGTTCCAGAAATCCATTCCAATTGTGCAGATAAAAATATATATCTGATACAATTCTACAGGATGGGGTATTAGTGTGTGAAAACAGTCCAGATCCAATGATCTCAAGATGGTGGAGACAGCCCAGGCATTTTCTCTTGGTCGCAAGTGGTCAAAAGCCAAGTGCAAAATGAGCCTGGGACCAAGCTGATTTCAAACACTGGTCAGAACAGTAGTAGTGGAGTAGTTCCAAATTATCACTGACCAAAGAATCTTGGTTTGCAAACTGCCCTAAATAAAAAAGTTTTATGAATTTATTCTCTGCCATGTCATAGTAACCTAGGTTTTCCTTCCTATCTGGCTTTCTTGATTAACCCTTTAAAACCAGAGCACTTTACACATTCCAGTTCCCTGCTATTGCTTGCCTGCATTTTTTATAAAAGGCCTTCAGCTAACCTTTCGTCAGGGCAGAAGTTCTGACATAAACAATGTCAGATCTATACAATGGAATTCTGATATGCCCTAAAGGAATTTCCTAAAGGACTGAATGCTTCAAAAAGTCAAATTATTGTGAAATTGGCTCTGGGGTATGCTAGGTGTGTATTGCTTTGAAAGACTTCTGTAACTAGCTCGACTGTTACCACAATTAACAGGTCAACTCTTTCCCAAGGCATCCCAGGAACCGATGATTTAATAAGGATCAAAAGCATAGTAGCAGCACCATCACAACTTAATGGGAGTAATGGGGATTAAGAGGACCCAAGATATTTAACCTTTTCGTAATGTGTAATACCGAGTTCAACATATTGGGAGAATTTGTAAAGCTGATGTCCCCTTAGGGGAATGCTCTTTTAAAGAAGCTAAATTGTTCTACACACACTGTACCATACTGAAATTGCATCCCCCAACAAGCCAAGATAAGGTATCTTTCCTCCCAATATCTATTTTGAAGACACGTTATTCCAGCCTTAAGAAGCCCAATTCACTACCACTACAATATATGGAGAAAAAGGAAATAAAGTACACCTTCTCCTTCCACCTTGTCAGGATGCAAATTTATTCATTTCATAGTATAACTTACAGTCACTGTTTATCAGAGCTTCTTCAAGCTTCAGGTAGAACTCAGATTTTTGTGCCAGCACTCCAAGGTTTACTACTTTTGACTGAAATATAAAAAAAGGTTGTCAATTGAATTGCATGAAAGACAACTTTTACAAATATATGTAGATGAAATTTTAAATGTAACATCCTTACGAGAATTAAAAGGGGGGATTTTGAATGTTGAATTAATTTAGTTCTGTACTCTAACTTACAATGCCATATTGAAGAATGGCATAATTAGGAGGAATCTCACCCAGTAAGATGAATATCCTTACACAGGCACTTCTCCTTTGAAGACATGCATGTGTACATGCATGCACATGGGAAAACATGCATCACATAAAACAATGGAAGAAAGGGCATCTGGAGAAATCAAAACAAGGATTTCTACGAGGACTCTTCAGAAAGCTAAAGATAGATGAGGACTAGAGGTTAATCTATGTAATATTTAACAATGTATTTAGGATTAAATCTCAGTGAGAAAGCGGTCTTAGATATGACAGAACAGCAAGTTCTTTCTATATATGATGAAGCTGCCCAATATTTAAGTACCAGTTTCAAGTATTAGATTGCAGATAATTATCTACATCATCACTTTAATACCCAGTAATTGTGCAGTTGAGGTGCCAAAACTCTGTGCTTTTATCAAAGATGTTGTAAGTGGGAATAGAGAATCGAAGGGGGGAAAATGCTATAAAATACAGTAGGACCAAGATCAGTTACTGCAATTCACCAGTGATTTAGCACCCATTACATAAGAAATTACTTCCAAGAGGCAGTCATAAATCCAGAGAGAGAGAGAGAGAGAGAGAGAGAGAGAGAAGTACTACATGCAGATGTTTTGTATCATCAGCTTTCTCTTTACCTGTTGTCCAACATTTTCATGTTCAATGGAAGCATATTGTGGTATGAGGCCAGGAATTGTGGGGATGAAGAACGGTGCAGATTTTGGGGCTTTTGGTGGCTCTTTGGGTTTGTTCTTTTGCTGTGGATGGGATATTTTATATCATCAGACAATTTCCATATTCACACTGTAACCCTAAGAACACCAAATGTATTAACTTTCCATCTGTGAAAGCGTTAGAATCTCAGCTGGTGTGTTAAATCTAGGTTGACTATGTGTAAAATAGTTCTGATATTTGTATACCCTACAAACAACCTAGATGTTATCCCAAACTATGAAGACATTTTGTCAAGTCTTTGTCGCATTCAACATAACACAACCACGTAATATGTAAAATGAGAGCAACAGGTCCTGGTCAGAAACCTTTTAAAAAATAGCATGAACGTGCTACCTTTATAATATCAAGATTGAGGAGGTTCTTCCATCTAGATTTTGGCAACATAGAAAGGGTCACTAATGCTTCTCCCAGCTGTTCTGGAGAATCGTATTCTATCATCTCATCACTTATTTCTTCTTCTTCTGTGACATCTACATCTTTAAAAATGGTAACAGACAGGGGGGGAAAGTTTAGCAACGTTGGGAAATGTTCGAATGACAGTAGATCCTGAATGACATTCAGATAAACACAGCTGGTTAATTACACAAGCACACTGGGATGATATTAGATTCTGGTAGGCAGCCGTGTTGGTCTGATGCAGTCGAAATATAGAAAAAAATTGTCCAGTAGCACCTTAGAGACCAACTAAGTTTGTTCTTGGTATAAGCTTTCGTGTGCATGCACAAAATTGCAGTGTATCTGAAGAAGTGTGCATGCACACAAAAGCTTATACCAAGAACAAACTTAGTTGGTCTCTAAGGTGCTACTGGACAATTTTTTTATTTTTTAATATATTTCGACTGGGATGATATGATAATGTTAAATATGTGAAGAAAATACAACAGAAACAATTCAGATGCAATTGAACATAACAAGATGAACACAGCCAGAGACGATGGCCAAGGAGGCACATTCCTGTAGCATTAATGGAAAGCCATGCTTGAAATTCCTCACAATGGATGGTGTCCCCTTGGCTAAGGGTTTCATACCTGCACTATGTATCTGGTTGTCTAACTAGCTTTTCTCCTACGCCCAATCTGTCAAAGTTGGCCTTTCAGAGGTCAAGGAGAGAAGGATCTGGTCTTCTTGTCAGAAAAGGTTGACCACCTCTCTTTAAGAGGCACAGTTATTCAATTGTACAAGAACTAGAATGCATCTGTGGGGGCTGGCAAAGGGTATCTCATCTGATTTAGCTGCTAAACCTTAGCTGTGGGAGCTCCCCCAGTGCTCTGAACGACACAGAATCGGCAGCAACGAAGACGTCATTTTCATGCCTCTTTTGAAAGGTATTACTCACAGAACATGCAGCTGCCAATCTGCTTCAGGGGATGAATCAAAAGTAGTGCCTACACTTGAATCTGCAGGATAGCTAGGAAGCTGGATTGCTTCCAGTTTCGTTACATATTTTGTTTGTGTCATTTTCTCACCATTACACAAAGTCAGATGATTCAGGAGAATTCATCCAAGTTATCGGAATGCTGACTGCACCATCAGCAACTGGAAGCACTGCCAGACATCTGCATGGACTCTAGACACCAGTGTCTCACCAGTGTCTCGCCTATTGCAAGGGAACGCCTCTTGCAGAATGTAGTTTCTGTAGTGTTTTGTACCAAATAAATATCTAAATGTGGCTCATTTTGTCCATATGTTAGAAATATACTTAAAAGCAGGGTCTGGATCGCTGCAAGACTGAAGTGCTGAGTTGACAGATCCTCTGACTAGTGGAAGGGAAGCCCCTCAAGTTTGCACTCTTAGCATGCTCTTGGATCTGCAGCTGGGCCTGGAAAAGCAGCCTGTGACGGGTTCAAAAGTACCCTCTGCTAACATCAGCAGCTGAGGACTGTGTCGTCGTTTTCTTTTATCTGATCTGAAAGCTTACACACATAACTGCTTCATACTAGATTACTGCAATGCACTCTCAGAGGAGGCTAGCCTTCGTGGCTGTGAGCTGGTACAGCTGGCTAGCTCAGTTGGTTAAAGCGTGGTGCTAACAATGCAAGGTTGCAAGTTCGATCCCTGGGTGGGACAGCTATGTATTCCTGCATTGCGGGGGTTGGACTAGATGATCCTCAGGATCCCATCCAACTCTATGGGTCTCTGATTCTATGTTCTGCTTATGAGCTTCCCATAAGCATCTGGCTGGCCACTTTGGGAATCCGGGTGCTCAACCAGATAAGCCTCTGGTATGATTAAACAGGGCTGCCTGCCACAGAATGGACACCAAACATACAGTACATCAGTGTTGACGCCAGCTCTCCATCATCTTCCTAACACAATCCCATGCATGGTTTTAATCTAACAGCTGGAACCTTCATGGTTCAGACGATGCCTTTACTATCATAATCAACAAGAGTAAATGAGAACACCACCTTGACTGCATCTCTGCCAAGTTCCAAGACAAGTTCCTTTCCCTAGAGGGTTGCCTATATAGCCTAACACCTTGAAGGGCCAACTGATGGCTATATTATATTCGGGCTGGCCTTTTGACAGTCGAGGCTGAGAAGATGTGGACCAATCAATTTTATAGCACATTTTACTTGGCTATTTTCAACTCGTTTTATGTTTCGAATTATTATCTGCCCCATCCTAGTTGATGGAGAAAGATAAGGCATAATGAAGCAGATAATACTTCACAATTTATTGTGATTTTTTAAAATATTGGATCAGATTGTTGCTGTTAATTTTTGATATGTTTTATCATGTTTTTATGTGTGCTGGAAACCGCCCAGAGCGGCTGGGGCAACCCAGCCAGATGGGCAGGGTATAATTTTTAAAAATATATATATATTATTTATCATGATGCTACTCACTATCTGGAGTGAAAGCTCTTTAGATAAAGAGGTCACCAAACAAATCGCATCATGCACTCTGTGAAATTGGCTCTATGCAGGTTGGAAACCCCCCCCCCTCCAGAACAGAACATATGGGGAGGGCTTGATATACTGACATGCTTGCAAACAGAATGTTAAACATAGCATGTCATTAGATCCAACCCATGGCTTCAAATATATGGTCATTAGTAAGGACAACTGGTTACACACTCTAGGGCAGGGGTGAGGAACCAGTGGTTCTCCAGATGTTGCTGGATGCCAACTCCCATCAGCCTCTGCAGTCCTGGCCGCTGGTCAAGACTGGTGGGAGTTGTAGTCTAGAAGCATCTAGGAAGCCATAGGATTTTCAAGTTGAACAATATGTCAGAACACAAGGGAGCGTAGAATTTTTCACAAATTCAACTTTGCACTGGCCTAGGAGCAGTATGCAAGCCGTTACTTTGCGATTACACAAACAAGAGATTCAGAAAAAGTACACTAACAGCCAAAAAACCCCTCAGCAACTCCCTTCTCTAGTACCTTGAGCTGGACATGTTCCAGGAAGCGTTACTACAGAAGGCTCATAATCCGGTGGAAGCGGACGCAAAGAGACAAGCGAATACAGCGAACGGTTAGACCTGTAAAATCCAAGATGGAAGGCATTGTTATTTTGGCTTGGGGGTGGGGGCAGAGGAGAAAGAAAGCACGTTATGTTCTTTGTGGATCTATCTGCTATAACCATGAGCGATTGATGTAAGCTATAGGACTGAGTTGTTAAGAGTGAGAGATGGTAGACCAGAAAGAGAACATTTTGAAGTTAAATGCAATCCTCATACTGCTATTTATGTAGAATATAATGCAAATGTTGATTAATACAACAGCTTTTTCTATGTTGTAAAATTTTAATGTATGTATACTGCATTTATTATGTATTTAGCTATTTGGTATGATTACTGTTTTCGATTTAATGTAGTTTAAATTAAAGGGTTTTTTTTGTTTTTGTTAGAACTAAATTGTTCACAGTCCTAAGAATATTGACTGGGTTCCAAAGAACAACAACTACCCCGATGCCTCTAATAACGTTTTGAGCTTACTTTCTGCACAGCAGAGCCCCACCATGTCATAAGGCAAGCTGGTTCTGAAGATAAATACAATTTCAGAAGTCGTTTTTGACATAGGATAAAAGACTACAGTCAAAACGTGGAGGAGGGAAAATCTTACTTGATGTAAAGCAAGTTCAACTGACATAAACAGAACTCGCTTCCAAGCAAACGTGTCTGGAATTTCATTATATTAGGAAAACAGTCCCAGTACACTTAACTGATTGGGAGGCAGGAGCAGTTACAGAGGAATTTTCCAAAGGGCAGAACTTGCACCTTTTACTCAAGTGCCATGGAACAATGCAGCAATACAAATGGGCAGTCTGATGTCTTATAGTTCTGCTCTAAAAACGGACGTGCTCAGAAGACCACTGGAAGACTTACCACAGGTAAATTCCAAGATCATCTACATGGGAAGAAGCTAAGAAGTCTCCCGTAGGAGACATAGTAATGCTTATTGCTGCTGAATCTAGTAGGAAACAGTCGACAAGGCTGCAAAGAGAAAAACAATTCATCACATAACAGATGATATACAGTTCAGTTACCAGTCATTAAATGCATGAAACCACTACCAGTCATTATATTATTAGTCTTCTTATTCTGCTTTTCAGACAAATGTATAGTCTTCCCAAAGACGTTCACTTCAACGTTTTAAAAAAGGAGACAGGGCAAGTTCTTGTGTTCAGGATTACAAACCGAAAAAAAGAAGCCATATTAGGGAGCAGGAGTGTGGGGAAAGGGAGAGATGGGGAATCAATTTGAAAATGTCAGAATAAAGGGGCATTTAAATCCAGCTGGGCCAGGCTTGATCTCAGGCTGGTGATCTTGCTTGGACAGAGGTGAGGCAACTGATCCAGCAGCCCTTAGTGATCTGCATGACAGAAGGTGCCAGAACATTATTCCCTTCAGTTCTCCAGACAGTTGGAGCAGAGCGTTCAGAGGATTAGATTTAAGAAGCATGGACATCTACAAAAAACATACAAGGATAAACACATATGATCTTTTCTAAGTACGACTGGGTTGACTGTCCTACATCACGGTTAACGAAACAAAAATAAAATATTATGATTAAATTCAAAACCCCGAAAAATTAACTTATAACTTAAAAAAAAAAGTTATCTGGTGTTTCTCTTTTCTTTTGCTTTTATACAATGCTTTAGTTTAGCTACAAGCATCCCCATAGTTTGTCACTCTTTTTACTCATTGTGGGGATAGTTTGTAATGTTTGATTTTTAGCATACAGAAATCAATCTGTAGTGATTGTGACGAATCACAATTCGTTCCCTTATGTTCCCAATAGACTAAACTGGCCATGTAATGTGATGACAAAAATATTGGGTGGGGGGGGGGGGGGAAATACTGGGTGGCATTCAACGCAGGAGACTTTTGTCTCCTCTTCCCTGCAGCTCCCCAGGGAAATCACCTCTCTGCGGTTGGGGGACCCTCTGGAGCATGTTTTGGGGACACAGAGGAGGAGAATATTGCAGAAGCAGAGTTCTGCCCATGGAGCATTGGATACACTGGGTCTAGTGGAGCCTCATGACTCAACTTTATCAGACGTGCCATTGCCCATTATGAGTAGGATGAACACAGGACTGCATCAATGGAGTAGACTGGAAGTCTAACACAAAGGTGGGGTGAGGGGTGGTGGATGGTGATGGGAAAAGGAATTATCTGTGGGATTGAGTGTAGGTATGTTTGAACATTTTTAAGGACTGTATGAAATGTATGTTTGTATGCTTGTATATTTGCAATATATGTGTATTAATGCTGAATTATTTTAACAATAAAAACTTTTCAAACAACAACAACAACAAAAACACAGTACTGCATGACTGGCAGCTACAACTGTATTCCAGACCATCTGGAACCAAAGCTACCCCTTTACCCTTTGTCGCTATGCCAGATGCCTCAAAGGAAGAAAACAAAGAACCGACTCTTGTAAGACCAAATGAAAACAAATCATAGTAAAACAGTTTAAAGTGTGTCCACTTGGTGGGCACGCCCGCCCAATCTGTCAACTCAAGAAGTGTGCAATTATGGTCAAGAATCAAATCTGCAACTGCTCATCAGTCCTATTCTTCCTGCAAATTGGCTGAAGTTCCGTTTGAACTTTAAAACATCTATCCTTTTTCATTCCTGCCCTAGTTAGCCACAGAGCATCAAATACAAGGGTGAAGGGAGAACCAACCCAGACTGGACTCTTCAGCAGGGAGACACACACAATAAATATGAATGAAAGCAACACTGGAAGTTCAAGTACAGGTAAATTTTAAAAAAAGCTGCAATGTGTGTGTGGTTGTGTGCTCTGGATATTACTATTTTTTTAATTTATGAAATGCCTTTTACATATGTCTCAAGGCAATGTACTGTGCAGGCATAAGAAACCTTAAATGTTAGTCCAATTATGTCATGCTAGTTAACGTAATTGGTTTAGTATTGCGGTACATTCCTATTAAAATTGAAGTGCTATCAAACTAAATCAAGAGTTGCATCATCAGACTGTGTAGTTTCAATGTATGCATAAGGAAATGGAAAAACAAGTACATTATGCACTAATCTGCATATGGACAACTCCTCTGACGTATGAGAACCATTTTGTCATTTCCATTTGACATCCATACTGTTATCTGGAAAATGTTATGATAACAAGAAACTCTGAGACTTTTTTGGTGGGGCAATGTTGCAACATTTAGATGTCAGTGCATCCTAAGGTGAATGAGAAGAAACATAAGTTCAAACAAGGCAGCCTGTCGTAAAATGTAATGTCTCAAATGGCTGATTACTTCAAAGAAATCTGACAAGTCTAGGTTATGCTTATAGGCAAGATGTCAAAAAGGCAACAACACAGGAAAATTAGATATGGAAATGGGATTTAATACATCCAACAGAGGAAATTAAAAGAATATGAGACATGAGAAATTACACAATCTTGGGGCACCTAAACTGGGATTGCCAAGTAGACAAGAGAAACCATTTTAACACAAATGCTTCATTAGGCTGAAGTCTGTCCTGTTCCAGTAAAAAGGATGGAGATGCATTACAGGTTGTATACAGAAGAACTACAAAAACTAGTCAAAGACTACTAGCCATTAAATCTAAGCCATTAAAAAAGTCAAAGACTACTAGCCATCATCTAAGCCATTAAAAAATCACTTTCAATTAAAGAAAGGGATTTTAAAAATGAAACAAGTATTAGTTAGCATGGTTAAAGTCAAGTTCTGCTGAAATTCAGGGGCTGCCCATTCTAACTTTAGTTAGAACGTTTACCATATAACATAAGACATAATATTCTGTTTGGTCGAGTGGGCTGGATGCCCTTTCTCCTCCCCGCACTCGGAGCCTACACGTGATTAGCATCATGATAGAATTTTTCTTCGGAAAGGGGGCACTGTGTTACATCTAGGTGCCACTTCCCTACACCTGATGAAGCACTGGGTTATTTGGGTGGGGAGTCCCCAACTCACATGACTTCTCTTGCAAACTGCATCAGCCATGGCAAGCAACATTTTCTATTAAAAATAAAAATTTAAGAAACTCAAGCCCTCATCTACCTATGAAGCAAAGAAGTGCCTCAATATATTGCCAGCTGAGACTTGAAACTGAGTATGACAAGATATCATTCTTGTGTACCTTTGGCAGGGCAGATTCAATCCTCAGGCATAAAGGCAATAAAACGCAAATAAATAAAGATATTTGCAAGTAGACCAGTTCGTTTTCTATTTTTATGTTGTGAACCACCCAGTGATCTTTGGGTGAAGGCTGCTATACAAATTTAATACATAGTAAGAATAAGATAGAAAGGTGTGTTTTAAAACTGATTGTGCTCTTTTGTCAGTACACACATGTAATATATTAAAGTAGTAGTTCTCTGCAATCTCTAAATTTACTTACCACCCAGATGGCAGATCCCAGGTTCTGATGGTGCAGTCCATAGCTGCCGTTATTAGCCAGCGGCCATCAGAACTGAAAGCCTACAAAAAATTATGATTTGTCTTTTGAGTAACAGCTGCACAGATTCCCCTGACAATGTTACTAGGATATTTGGATGAATGGGTCAAGCATAAGGAGCTAATATGGAATTTATCACTTGTTGCTAGTACAGTGGTACCTCGGGTTAATAACTCAATTCGTTCCGGAGGTCCGTTCTTAACCTGAAACTGTTCTTAACCTGAAGCACTACTTTAGCTAATGGGGCCTCCTGCTACCGCTGCATGATTTCTGTTCTCATCCTGAAGCAAAGTTCTTATCCCGAGGTACTACTTCTGGGTTAGTGGAGTCTGTAACCTGAAGTGTCTGTAACCTGAAGCGCATGTAACCCGAGGTACCACTGTATGTTTGTTGTGTTGCAAAAATGGAATAATAAAGCCACCAGCAACAGTGAAAGAAAGCCTGGCAAAAAGCAAGGTTGGCATAAAGAATTAATATGGCTGAAATATGGTAAATAAGAGAGAAAACTTGAATATAAATGGAAGCCCTTAATTGAATTCATGAAGACTAGATACAATATGATACAGTCATGCCTCGGGTTACAGACGCTTCAGCTTGCGTCAAAACCCGGAAGTACCGGAATGGGTTACTTCTGGGTTTCGGCGGGCGCACATGCGCAGAAGCGCCAAATTGCAACCCGCGCATGCGCAGACATGGCGCTGCAGGTTGCGAACGTGCCTCCCGCATGGATCACGTTCACAACCCAAGCGTCCACTGTATTAATTACAACCATTTATCTATGCAGTATATTAATATGTTATAATTTTCGAATTTATAATATTGGTATTTGTAGCTGCATGATACACACACACACACACACACAAACTCACACACATATATGTGGTATTACAGGAACAGGTATTTACTTGATATATCCTTGCAATCATTGTATTTTATATTTTATAAATTATAATGAATATTTTAAAAAAAGAATTGGGATGATGCTCTAGCTACACTAGCAACAAAAATGCATTTCAATGTTGAGTTGTTGAAACACTGGATATAGTCAAAGCTGAAGAATACTTAGGAAAATAAACATTTTCCTAAGTATTCTTCAGCTTTGAATATATCCAGTGTTTCACACTAAGTTAGCACATAGCAACTGTATCCATTCACATCATTTATTATAATTCATATTCCTGTTCTTCTTTTAGAAATTCAGTGTCCTCCATGGGACTCCCAGTGGTCTTCCATTCAGGTCCACATGCCCTTAGCTTCACTCTTGCTAAAGGATTAGGTGACCCCAAATCAACTGACCCACATACAAGAATATGCATTTGTTTCGGCACAAACCTCAAAGATCTAACGTGATGGTTAGGGTAGGCAGCATAGTACCCTGTTGATACTGTGGGCTGCAACTTCCATTCTCCCTAACCATTTGCTATGTTGGCTGGGGATGATGGGAATTACAGTCTACAAAATCTGGAGGTCAGTACGTTGCCTGTCCAATGTAGATGAACTCTGGCGGTACATAACCTCTACACAATTGATAGTAAATAGATACAAACTTACCAGGTCATTTATCTGGCCTTGGTGCCCTGAAAACTTCCTCACGATTTTTCGTGTTTCTATATCCAGGACACTAATGGTGAAGTCATCCGTAACAATTCCCAGAATGCAACTGGTGAAATCAAGAAGAATATAAAGTAGAATATCAAACACATGTTAAGGAAGAGGCAAAAAAATAATAATGCATTATGCTTCTTTGTTATTGATATTCTTGGAACACAAACTTTAGGGGAAACCCCCAATAGATGTTTAGAGTAAGGCTACTCTAAATGTTTTCACAGGGGAAAGGAAAGGCAAAAGCTGGATATAAGCAGGGCATAATGAGCAAAATGGACAGGTGACTGTAGTGGGTTGGATGTGTAAAGGGTAAGAACCTAATCACAACAATAATTTTATTATTTTCATCAGTTAAGATTATTCCAGTTATTTATTTGTTGCTTTTCACAAAGCAGCATACGGAGAAATAAAAACAATGAAGCATCAGGCAAAATACTAAGCACTGAATGCATACATACAATCCAAGATGAGACCCTTTCTCTTCAGGAAAGGCCACAGTAAAGATTTTAAGGCAGGAGTGGCTCCAGATCCAGCCTGCCAAGCCAATGCCAATGCCAGACTCAGGCACCTCTTCACTTTGCAAATGTGTCTCCTCTTCTTCCGGCATCACTGTTAGGTCTTACAGGCCGGGGGGGGGCGGGGGCGGGGAGGAAGGAGCACACTCTCCTGCTCATGACTGGCAAGATCTCCTAATAGTAGTGCCATGCAAGCGGGGGAAAAGCCACCTTTGAAAGATAAGCTGTATCACAGCAGAAGGAAATGGTTCTATTCATCACCTGTGTGCATGTGGGTGGGTGTGCATGGATGTCTGGTCTGCATGCCTGGGTTTTTGTGTGCTGTATCTGCATGCATGCATATGCTTGTGTGAATGACGAACCTTCAATGCAGCCCTTAGCCACCCTCTTTCTAAAGCCTTCTTGAATGTCAAAACTGAAGAGGCCAAGTGAATTTTAATTGGAAGGGAGGGCCACCCTCAAGAAGACCCTGTCTACATGAAGAAACTAGGGAGGCGGCATGTATTTCAGAAACTAGGAGGGGTGAAACTCTTTTAGTACAACTGTGCTCTGCAAATATGAATTATGAAAATATCACCGCTGAAGTAAGAGAAGTTATTAAAAACAATACATCTTGCAATAATCCCACCTGTCTCTGTGAAGCAACATTTTACTTGGAGAAGAAGGGAGGTTAATAGAGTGAACAAATTTTGTGCTTTTGAAGTTCCAGAACTTGATCAATCCTTCACTTCCTGCTGTGGTTGTCAGCTGGTTTAATCCATCCACGGCTACTCCTCTTATGGAGCCTTCATGAGCTTTAATTGCGAAGTAAAAGAGTCAATTAATAGTCCACCACCTTAATTTAGCATCTTCCAACTATTTGTTATTATAAAGTTATATACAGATCCTTAGCACAGCTCACAATCTAAGCACAATATAACATCCTTCAGGAATAGATAGATACCATACCACGGTTAATCATATTCACTTTCTGTCATATTTTTCCTGTAGTGCAGTACATTGTGTCCACCGTGGAACTGAGATCCAGAGTAAAGCTTCCTTCCTCATTCTGCATGGCTAAACCATGCCACCAAATGCACAAGGGACACACTATCTTATGAAATTGGAATCCCAAACTTGTTAATGCAGAGACGACTTAACAACTCACTGTGCATGTAGAAGGCAGGCATGTGTATCAGAAGCATCTCCCTACGCCAGCGTGAAATAACAATACGCACCTTTGTTATTGCTGGTTTATTGCCATCATAATATACAGGCATGCAATGATCCATCTAGTTGTTGTCTGACCATAGCAGGGTTATTTAACCTGTGGGCCTCCACATTTTGCTAAACTACAACTTGCTCCATCCCTGACCAGTGGCCATAACAGTTGGGGCTGATGAGAGCTGGAGTTCAACAGTATTTGGAAGGCGACGGGATACCCACCCCTGAGCTATAACCAAAGGTCAGTGTTGTGCAAAAGCTTCCTGCCTCTTCTCTGCAGCACATCAAATCCAAAGGCTCAATTTAATCTGCTGGCAACATTCATACATTTGAAAATGCAGCCGGAAATTTGTCACACAGTATGTGCCTAAGAGGGCTCATTGGCTTATGCTCACCCCCTGCAATACAAAATAAAGATTGTGCTTGCAGTTGGACATGTTTTCCTACATCCCTATAGGCATATGCTTTCCTCATGTACACGCATATTCCCAATCACATGGCAAATACTACAAATGATGTTCAGCGTAGGTGTGAGCAAACACAAGCCAGCACATCCCATTCTCTGTATAGCAGGAATATATTGTTACAGGAGAGCATTCTGAGGATGTATTTCCGATCCAGAGTCTCAACAACACTGAAACTGTTGTTAAGAGGGTAAACTCCAATGCAGCTGTCCGCTCATGGAACAGCTTTTGATTCAGCTGAGGCACCCACTAATTTAAGATATGGGGAGGGAAATTTCACTGACACCCTGCCTCTCACTTCTGCAATCTTCCAAACTGTTGTATAGGGTTCTCCAGCCTTCTAGAGCAGACTTTTGGTGGCCACAGAGTGTTGCAGCAGAGAGAAGGGATTGACAAAAATCTCTGCCTTCCCCCCATTTTTGTACATTAGCAGATGTCTTGGCTGGATCAAAAGACATTCTGCAATAGAAAAGGCAGCACTGGATTTCAACCAGAATGTTTTCTAAGTGCCCTATTTTCACCTTTTTCTTTGCCATAACGCCCTCTGTGAATGCCAGACTGCATGTTGTATACATCCACATGTCCTGTTGAAAGTCCAATTACAGCAAAGTTTCCGCAGGAACTGATATCTACTGCCTTTTGGGGAAAGAGAAAGAAACAAGTTTTTTTTTATAGAAGCAAATATTTGAAATCTTACTTCCAATATTTGTGATTAACAATGTCAGATTCTTAACTGTTTAAACAGACACTATTCAATACAAACTGATTCTACTTTCAAAAAATTACTGAGATGTTCAGATAAAGAAAAATTCTTGCTATTATTGTGATTTAGCATACACTGGAGCCTCAGTTTTCGAACTTAATCCATTCTGGAAGACCGTTTCGGCTTCCAAAAAGTTCAAAAACCAAGGATCAATGGGCTGGCCGCAAAGTCAATGGGAAAAAATGAAAAGGGCTTCCAAAAGCATGTTCAGCTTCCGAAAATCGTTCGAAAACCAGAGCAGTTACTTCTGGGTTTTCGGCGTTTGGGAGCTGAAACGTTCCAAAACAGAGGCGTTCTGGAACCGAGGTTTGACTTTAGTTACTTGCCACTTTACCCTAAAGTGTGTCAGAGCAATTTACAATGCAATAACCGAAGTTACCAGAAGTGGTAACTTCGGGGCTTCCGGGGTGGCGCCATCGGTAATAGCGGACTCCCTCTGATCCGGAGGGACTAGCTCCGCGGAAAACGGGTCTTCCCGCTACGGCGAAGCGGGGACCCTTTCAAAAATCACAGGCGGATGAAGCCTGTGACCATGGGACTCGGCGGGCACCTTTCGCACCCCCCCAACTCGTAAAAGAACTCCGTTACGGGCTCCGGAGCGAAGAGGGGCAAGTGGCGCGGTGCTGAGAGTCAACTGCTTCTTCCGTGGAGCGAAGCCGCACAGCCGTTGCCGGAGAGCGCTGCCTTTTTCCTGGGACAATTTGGCTTTTAAAACAATTACCCGTGAGTAACTTAATTTTGGACAATTGGACTTTAAAAAACGACCTGCGAGTAGAAAGGAAAATTGGACTAAGAAATTCTTCTTAATTTGGTACTGAAACGGGAAGGTCTAAACAGGAAGTCAGCCTTCCGTTTCTTGTAGACAGATTAAAGCAAAGACATGGCAAACTAAAGTTTCAGAAAATAGTTTCTAAAGGATTAACTTTCATCATTTAAAATTGTTGAACCCCCTTCGGGAGCAGGAGAAGAGGGGGGATTTTTTTCCGGACTGTTTAAACCTGCAGAAGTGAGTGTAAAGAAAAGTAATTTTCCACCGTCTTGAACCTGGGAGCCGGGTGTCAAGACAGACGTTCTTTAGGAAGCTCATTGACCATAGACAAACGTCTTTGACAGATAGTTAAAAGAAGAGAAACATAGTGATTCCATTGTTCTTCTTCGCATTTTAAAGGAACAATATTGACAAAATATCTGAAAAAGTAAACTTTGTTGTTAGATCTGTCTTTAAACCCTAGAGGGAGCCTGTGAAACTGTTACCAAATTTGAACCGGGGAGCTCTGCAGCTGTAACAGATTACGATCGTGGGAACAGACTTCTGACCTTGCAGAACAATGTATTCAGAAGCCTTGGTGCGTGCTTTCTGTAAAACAAGTGCCCTATTGGATCAGCTACATGAGAAGACGGACTTGATGACTGTTGCGTTCGGAAATTTTGGACAGGTAGTGGGTAACTATATAGAACCCACCCAGGAATCAAATCAGAACTGTGCTCTGACAGATCAGATGAGGGAAGAAGATGTTGCTGAACCTCGGATGCCAGAGATGGAGGGAGTTGTGGCCCAGCAGGAACATGAGTTGTTGGATTTGATAAATGAACTTGGAAAACGCCAGATTTGGAGAGATAAAGTTTTGTTTGGTTTGGAAATGGGGGGTTGATAGACCCCCCTATGCAGGGATGTTTTGACTTTCCAAGTCTGGCAATGGGCCACGAGATGTTTGGGGTTGTGGGGGCTCTTAATTCTGGAGGGACTTTGAAATATGTTCTTAAATACCACATGGAGTTTAGTGAGGACTATGGAAAAGGGGCTGATTTGTCGAGAAGGGTCAAAAACACTGTCAAGCTGGAGTGCCCACGAGTGAAAGGAGCAGGAGACAAAGTAAAGTATAGGTATAAATATGAAGAAGAGCCGCGGAAGGGACATGGAAGAGACTTAAGGGCCTCGGACATAAGATTACCAGGTTAATGCACCAGATTGATGGGATAGAAAGGACTGACAAAACCCGGGACCAGGAGGAAGAGACGCTGGATGAAGATTGGAAGAAAATTTGAAAAAAAAAATTATTAGGATTGCCTTATAAAATTAATGAATGTTAGAAAAATGTTGGAACGAAATTATTTGACTTTAGCAAAAATGTTAAAAGAATTATGTAAGAATATCTTATGGTTATGAGAAATTGGTATAAATAAGATGTAAGTTTTAAGTTTTAGGGTTCTTTATAGTAAAATAAGGTTAAAATAGATTAAGGTAATGTAATGACAGAATATTATGAAAAATGGAAAGGATTTGCTGTGATAATTAACAACTAGGATACAAAAAAAGGGAGGAGTGAGGAGGTCAATGAAAGAAGGTAATGACAGTTAAGAATTTGAGAATATTGGATTTGTTTTTAAAAATTCTGTGGCTTATTTTTGTTTTTTGATTGTGCTCTGTTATCTGTTTTGTTGTTATTTTTTTATTTTGATTTTTACCAATTTGTATTGTTTGATTGTGGTTTGTTTTTCTTTTGTTCTTTCTCTTTCTTTTTCTTCTTTGTTTTTCCTGTAATTTTAAAAATCTTAATAAATATTATTTTTTAAAAAAAAAACAGAAGTGGTAACTTCGAGGCAGGGGAAGAGACTGACCATCATTGCCTTCTCAAGCATTTGCCTTTTGCTGCTGCTGCCAGTCTCCTCTGGAGTTAACGTATGAGCGGCAGTTGTATGTCACTTAGCCTGATGAGAAGTCCCTTCCCCTCTCAGCTGTAGTTAAGCCAGGCTCTCTGGTGTGCACAAAGACCAGAACGAGAACCCTTCTTGTCAGTTAACACTTGCTTTCTTTGTATTTATGTACTTAAACCTAGACTGCTTTTTTCCTTGTAATACCGAATTTAACAGTCAAACAGCAGCAAATTGTTGATTTTTGTCATTTCTGAATTTACTGACATGCTCTCTGTATTTCGTATGCTTGCATTTTGACATTTTGGATGTTTCCTGTAAGCCGCTTTGTGGAAAAGTGGCATATAAGTACACTCAACCAACCAACCAACCAACCAACCACAAACATACCTAACTGCCCTCCAATTAAGCCCTAAAGTCTTAGGTAAACAACAATGGGCCCTTTCAGTGATGGCTCTCTGTTTGTGCATCTGGTTTATTGTATTTTAAATATATTACTGCTTTTAACAACAACAACAACATCAACCTATCTTGGTTATGTCATTCTGAATTATGAGCGGGTTTTTCTGTACACTTAAAAACAACAACAGAGCTTCCGGGTTGGCGCCATCGCCGAATGGCGGACTCCCTCCGAGCTCCGGAGGGAGTCTGCTCGGCAGGGGCTGGGTCCTACCGCGCCGGCGACGCGGGGACCCTTAAAAACCACGGGCACGGAGTCCGTGGACATGGGTGACTCGGCTTGCACCATTAGCGCCCTCCCGACTCGTGAAGGAGCCTTTAAAAAGGCTTCGGATCGGGTGCCGGGGAGCGGCGTGGTGCTTTGAGTCTTCTGCTTTCCCTGCCGAGCGCAGCCGCATGCCATTCGACGGAGAGCGCTGACTTCTTCCATTGAAAATTTGGACTATTAACAACAACCCGTGAGTAATTGGGAAACCGGGTTTAAAATTTCGGATTTGGCACGAGCGGGGGCGATTTGAAAGGAAGTCAATCCCCCTACTGTAAGCATTCCAAAACAAGGACTGGGTAACCAAGGTCCAAAGGGAAGTATATTCTTGATAAAAACCATTAATTTCACGATGGGAAATTATAAGAACTGTGCTGGAGGAGAAGAGTGGAGGGCGAGAAGAAAAATGCAACCCCCCCCCTGGGAACCGGGGCGATTCGTGGAGCCTGGTGAAGAGAGACGGAGACTTTGACAGCTGTCAAAGTGGCTGTCAAAGTTGGAGAATATAAAGAGGACTTTGTTATGAGGACTTTGCCGGTTAATTTTGCTACAATTTGCTACAATATGGATATAAACTGTTGGAAAATAACCAACAATTTGACTTTTGGATTAGAGGATACAAAGTTATTACAATCCCCCGAGAGGGGTTTCGGGATATTACAAGAACGGTCGTAAGTGGAAAAATACTCTGGGATTCGCACAGGACTTGTTATCTTTTGGGAAAGCTGCAAAACTGAAATAGTATTTTGTCTACAGAGGTATTTACATTAAAGGAGACAATAGAATTTTCTATTGAAGAAAGGAAGGGACTGGACGTCAGTTTTGTTCCTGAATAACAAACCTCTGCAGAGATATCAGATTTCTGAATTAGAAAGTTTTAGCAGCTGAACAGGACAAGAAACCTGAGAAAGTGAGGAAAAGAAGAACAAAGGACTGATTACGACACGGAAAGAACAACGGGAGGAGTGGTAAAGATCAAGGAAATTAAAGGCCTTTGTTAGATTGGACACTTGAAGTTACATATTATTAATAAATTAAAAGAAAACCGGCAAGATGGAATCGGGAGAAATTTGGTCATGAATTGAGACTTCCAAGCTGATAATGCACAGACTGATGGATATGGGGAATTCAAACCGGGGAAGGGGGAGATTTGAAATCCAAAGGCTGTGTAACCATCTTTTGAATTTTTTATATCTTTTATTTTTATTTTTTTACATAACTTACGTATGTCATTTTATTTTGATTGGACGTGTTTAAAAAAGGGAATTCGTGGAAGGAACTGGGGTGGATCTTGGGGAAAATCTTTTTCTTTTCTTGTTAATGATGTGGGACGGTGGTAAGATTTGTACAATTCAATATGGATAGTGGGTTAAACAAATTAAGCTTCAAATCGGGAGTGAGAGCTTGTAGAATTAAATTAAGGAAAGGGAATACAGTCGGGGGAGGGGAGTCCCAGAAAGTAGGCAATGAAAGTAAGGTTTTTAAATATCTTTTTTTCTTTTTCTTTTTTTCTTTGTATTTTTATATTTTTGGAAACTTTAATAAATATGATTTAAAAAAAAAAAAAAAAAAACAACAACAGAACTATATCCTTCAATCAGTTAAAAACAACCCTTACTGTTGCATATACACCAAGAGGTCTATTTTTGCTGAAGTCTTGTGGCGCCAGTTTATGAATTCCCATTGACCCTTTCTGATAATTCCAGGTAGTACAGGTTAGAAATCCTTGATGGCAAGCAATGATCCCATCCCAGTCACTTTGACGGGCGACCTCTGTAACACAATCAAAATACGTTAAAAGGCACAACTCTTAATCAAGAAGCAATTGTCCCATGGAAAAATAGCTTTGCACACATTTTATAACAATTGTTTAGCAGTTGTTTAATTTAATACAGTGATACCTCAGGTTAAGTACTTAATTCGTTCCGGAGGTCCGTACTTAACCTGAAACTGTTCTTAACCTGCCTGAAGCACCACTTTAGCTAATGGGGCCTCCTGCTGCTGCCGCACCACCGGAGCACGATTTCTGTTCTCACCCTGAAGCAAAGTTCTGAACCTGAAGCACTATTTCTGGGTTAGCGGAGTCTGTAACCTGAAGCGTATGTAACCCGAGGTACCACTGTGCATGGTTACAGTACAAGGGTTCCATGTCTGCCATTATCCTAACTGTAAAGAGTACGTCCAGCACAAGGTAGTCCGTCAAACGATGGAAGTTGCTCCCCAGGAGGCCACCAACTATGGATGGCTTTAAAGGAGGACTGTACAAATTCATGGTGGACTAGTCATGACGACTGTGCTCTATCCCCTGCAGCTAGAGGCAGCAATGCTTCTGAATACCAATTGCTGGAAACCACATGGGGGGGTGCATGAGTGCTCATGTTCTGCTCCCTAGTTTCCCACGGGCATCTGCTTGGCCTCTGTAAGAGCAGCATGCTGGACCAGTTGGGCCACTGGCCTGATACAGCCAGCTCTGCTTATGTGAAACTACCCACTTAACGTTTAACAGAATGAATATTGTAAGAACAACCTATAGCACTATTTATTATTATTATTATTATTAATAATAATAATACCCCGCCCTCCCCAGCCAAGGCCGGGCTCAGGGCAGCTAGCAAGCAATAATAAAAACAAGTTGAATGATTACAACTTAAAAACAACATTAAAATACAACATTAAAATATTGAAACATTAAAATATTAAAATGTAGCCTCATCGAAGGAGGAGAAAGGAAAAGAAAAAAGAGAGGGAGGGAATCAAATTGGCTCCAAGCCAAAGGCCAGGCGGAACAACTCTGTCTTACAAGCCCTGCGGAAAGAAATCAGATCCTGCAGGGCCCTGGTCTCATGAGACAGAGCGTTCCACCAGGCCGGAGGAACTTGTTGCACTGGGAGTAGAAAAAACAACTTAAGAGCAGCGCTGTGTAATCAGACTAGTAGTCTATGCAGTCCAGTGTCCTGCTTCCAACATCTAATTGCAGCACACTGCCACTAAGTCTAGAAGTCCCATTTAATTGTCATAGCCAACAGCCCTAGATAGTTCCGCCCTCCATGAATTGGTCTATGCTGCTTTTAATGTGAGGTCAGCCAGCGCCCATCACAGCACGACGTGGCAGCAAACGCCATAAATAAAATATACAAATAGGCTGCTAAGAATTGCACTGTAGATTTCTGTACATAGCCATTATTAGAGGAGCCTTTCATTTTCAATCTCTTCTCTATAATCACCTCCAACATGGGATTTGACCTTTTCAACACAACTGCACAGTGAGTTAGTGTTTTCACTGAGCCATCCACCAATTACTTTTCTGGATAGTCACAGCCACTTTGGTTCCCATCAGTGTGCATTGTTTTCCCCAATGCATGTCATTCTAGATTTACTTGGAATCTCATCAGCCACGTAAGATGCTATTCAATGGGGGCAGGGGAAGGGGGGGGGAGACTTGATGTCGTATTAGCTCATTCATTCAAGACAAGCAAAGAATTACGCACCTGTAGCAAATGTTGTAATAGGTGGAAGAGTCATTGTATCATACCGGAGTCCTTTCCTTTTTGATTTCTTTTTATTTATGGAACCTTCAAGAGATGAGAAACATGACACAAATGTACGCCACACACTGACGGTTTGAACATATTAAGTCTTAGGGAAGGCTGTTTCCTAACTCTGCCATGCCACCACCCAATACTATGTCAAAAGAAAAATTACACTGAAATTAGGATCAGGTGTTAAGTTTCAAAAGCACAAACAAAAAAATTTTATCATAAGAAATTTCACTCATTTCAATAGAACTTTCTTTACAGAGTATTATTTCCTCTGGTTCAGGATTGTTTACCAGTCATTAAACAACAAGAGTCTGAGCGCAAACAAAGAGCAGCTAGAAACTATAAGTAATCTGGGTTCACCGAGCAGCTACACAATATTTTAGCACTCGTACAGGTTCAATACACCAAAATACCTTCACAGACATTTGATTATGCATTGCGTAGTCCCACTCACCGCGTCCTAAGCTTTTATTGAATCGCCCATGCACCGTGGAAAATGACTGCAAGGTACTATCTTGTCCTACAGTAGAACATTAAAAGAAAATGTAGGTATACCTATGCATCAGTTCATTTTAGGCAACTTTTAAATGTAAACCGTTATAGAAATTGTTGGAGAAAACCTTGCTTTTGCATCCAACGTCTCACCACTGACTTGCCTCCCCCTCCTCTCTTCTCTGGAGGATCGTCTAACCCTTCTGAGTATATTTTTTGGGGAAGGAGATGGGCTGCAGAGGAGAGGGAGGAATTCATTCTGCCAGCAGTGTGTCCTGTTGGTTAATAACCAATCAACAAAGCTTGAAATTATCTCCTAATGCAGTGTTAAATTACATTGGGCCCACTACTTACACAATGGTTCAGTTCCGGGGTCTGAACACAAAGGCAAAATCGCACGAAGTCAGGAACGCTCTCCCGACCTCTCTCCCCCCCCCCCCGGCAGGCGGAGAGCTGCTCGTTAGGGTCTGGGAAGGTCGTGGGAGGGTCCTGAGTGCGAGTAGGGTGCCTTCCTTACTGGCCTCTGAGATGCTCCCAGAGCCCGCACACCTCCTTTCCAGAGGCTGGTAAGGAAGGTGTGACCATGTTTACTGGACTTTGGGGAGGTGGTACGAGGGCTCTGGGATGCTTGTAAGAGAGGAAGATATAGCTGGGTGTGCTGGTGCCGGTGCCGGTGGGGAAATAAATGAAAGATCAGAGAATGGTGGGTTTCCATGGCTCTCTATTCATTCATTCATTCATTCATTCATTCCCCCCTGTGCAATGTTCTAATCACATTAAGTAACGCGTGCACAAGTTGTGGGCTTATTGTATTACGTTATTTGGACAGGGGCCGACTTTTACAAGAAAACCAAGTCTTCAATTTCAAATCGAAACTCCTATTTTTGTCAACTTAAGTAGCAGCAATTGAGAAAGATAAAACTATGTTCAAGATCCAACCTGCATACTGGAGCAAAACCAAACAAGTCAGAGATAAATTGGCTGGCCTATGACTAATCCTTAATCACAAGAAACTGAACTTCACGTGACTTGATCCAAAAACAGTATTACTCATTTCAACATAACAGGAAGCTGGGAGAATTCCTACCGGCACTGAGAATTTGCTGCCCATTTTGCCCATGATATCTGATTTTCGTTGGAGGTGCACTGTGGCCCATTCGGAATCTCAGCAATCTGCCACTTCCTCCAGGGCCATCAAAGATCCATACCTATTCAACAAGTAAACAAACGCAAGAAAACAAGTGTAAAGGAAAGCAAGACTTGAAAATAAGCTTGAAGCAAAATAAATGCACAGTAATAAACCAATAAACTAGTAATATTCAGAAGCGCTGTATGTGGCCACACTCATGTTTCATTCAAGGACATACAAAACCTTCTCCATTATTTTTTGCAAATAATAGATACTTCATGCTTCGGAATACCTTTTAGCCAAGAAGTATTTCCTAATGTAAGTACTTGGATCCTAATCTTTGTGTTTTTTATAAGAGCAGGAAACAATGCATAAGTGATTTTTAAAATTTTATCCAAGAGCACAAATATGCCTTTTCTTGTTAAGAGAAAACTTGTAAAAAGACTGTTCTAGATTGGGGACAGGGAGAGGAGGAGGAAGTGATTTAACGGTACATAATTGCTCATTCAAATCCTCAACCAGATAGTGATAGTTATATCACTAGTAATGACTGGCTTAGCAGAACTGTGGAGATTGCCTGCTGTTTCTCAACAAATGAAACCTAATTATGCAACAACAAACGTAAGAGGGCATCTTACAGACGTACCATAATGCTCTACCACAGTTTTGCACAACTACACAGTATTTTTGTTCCCAAGAACAAAAAGAAGGAGTATACATTGTGTTTCTAGATGAATTAAGTAATTAAGTATTCTGTGTATATGTTTAAATCTACGTTGGTTCTTGCTCCTATTTATTTAATAATTATTCGCTTAGATTTATACTGTTATGCTATTTATTTAGATGTTTTGCTTATGCTGGTCTATGACCGTAATAAAATAAAGTACTTGACTAGGTGCATGAATCATCTTAGGATCATCAGAAAGGGGCAGGGGAAATCACTTTGGAAATGGAATATTAATTAGTTAAAGCTATATAACTTACCCTTATTGCATTGTCCGAACCATTGGTAATAAGAAGTGGTTCCCCTTGGACAAATGTCATACCCGAAATTGCTGTAGAATGGGCATCTCTCATCTGGCCCTGAAGTTTCTTTTCTTCTAGATCCCACAACCCAATATGCCCAACAGGACTTCCAGCAGCCATAACTGGGTGTCCATCTGATCACATGCAGAAAAGAAACAAAACATAAATACAGAAACCTTAAATCAAAACAAGTAATACTGAAGAGCATACAACTGGGAAAGAAAGCCAACTAACATCAAAATTGATGTGGAGAGGGTGAGTGATTAAATCACTCGCGCCACAATTTTCCTGTTCAGACATAACAATAAACTATCGTTTGATTAGACCAGAAAAATTTCCATAAAAACTGTGCATGCAAGGGGAGAATAGAACGTTCAGAATCATCTGTGATCTTCAAGCCATCAATTGGAGGACTGTCTGAATGCAACTACAGCAAGACCAATTACCTGTACATGTCAGTCCTGGCCTTATGATAGCTTGCAACAGTTGACAAGTAGTTTATACTTAAATTTGTATTTCAACTTAAGGCTTTAACTCATGTCTGAGGTTTCTAATAAGTGCTGAAGTGTACCTGTACGGAATGATATTGCTGTTATGGGACCCCAGTCTTGTTGAAATTTCATCAGCGTTTCATCAAATTTAATATTGTGCACTATGATGTAACCAGACACAAGACCTACTGCAATGACATCCACTGCTGGGGCCTGCAAAGAAAGTTATACTATTAAACAACAGCAACTTTTTATATTTTGCAACTGAGCATAAATAACCTATTAAGAATGTGTGGTAAGATTCCATTAGAAACTTTTCCTGGGCACACCTGAATGAAATCACCAAGTTCTGAGTAAGCACACAAGTTCATCCTAATGAGGCTTTTGTTACTTTTTAGACAAGAATGAGCTTGCTGCATCAAAGACATGCTTTTCCAATTTCAAAGCTTGTTTACTGTCATGCATTTTTATTATTGCATACTGAATAGAATGAGATGCATGTAATCATTATTCCATGGCGTTATTTCCCAGTCATCTTCTAATATTTCCAAAATGGAAGGAGCCTCAGAGTTCAGACTAGGTGAGATGCTAACTCCAAGATCTTGCCTGTTTCCTTCAACCTCCACAGAAGCAGCAAGAGAGGCTATAGGAGACTTCGGGTGATACAGTAGGTTTGGTCAGCTTTCATCAAAATGTTGCCATTTTTGGAGGAAGTGCAAACAAATTAGTTCTACACATTTTTACACCTACTTACATCTTTATTTGGAGTGCGTTTCACCATCTGAAGCCAGGGCAAAAAAAGCTGCGGAAGCTGTAGACTAATACTCTCTAATAATACTCTCTTTAGTAAACTTTCACTTGGATTGAATGGTGCTCTGTGCACACACGCTGTACTCGTTTGGAGCGTGGGGGGGGGGGAAGAGATTTAATTTGACTCCCCCTCCCAACTACAGCCCACCACTCCAGAGGGTCGTTCAGAGGTCTTGATCCATGAGCATAAGTTTGCTTGTTTCATATGATTCATCCCTCTACCTCTAACTTAACACACTCTTTGATTATAACAGGCCACAGAACTTACTGTATTAACACTAAAGCCCAGTTTTCAACAGCTTGCAAGCCTTTGTGCAAACCTTATTGTCTTTCATATCAAATATATGAATACACAGCAAGGGAACATACATTCAGAGCCACACCACTCACAGTACACATTAACATTTTAATTACAACTCTTCCACCTAAGATTGGACGTTTGGATGAAATCAAATTTTGGATGCATATATTTAGCACTAACCTCACTGGGGCTTACTTCCAAACAAGTGTGCTTAAGGATTACAGCCTTGCGTAAAACCTACTAGTATATAATTTGGGACACTGACACCATTCTAATTATGTTCAAATAGAAGTGTTTAGAAGAAGAGCACAAGTAATGAGCTCCATACAGGTTGAATTCTTAAAAAAACAAACCCAGCTACAATACATGGTCTCAAGATTACTACAGTTTAAGAATATGTGATTTGTGGACCATGGTTTAACAGTCTAAACCCAAACATACTGCATTAATTTAAAAAAATCCATTAAATGGAACAGAACTTACTTCTAGATAAGGGTGTGTAGACTGAAGCCTGCATGTGATCGTTCCATTTCTATTCTAGTGCTAATTTTTAGCATAGACTTTTTGAATGAATTTCAGGTTCGCAAGAGCTAGACTCATTTATTTAAAGAAAAATCCCCTGCATATATATTATTTTTGCAACGCCACTAGCAATATAATACAGCCCAAGTATACAGTGTTTTCAAGAATACTGACATGTACATTGACTTTGCTTACTAAAGTCTGTCATTCAGAATCCTGCAAAAGTAGTAGTAGATCTGCTAATATGAACTAGAAATTAAGGGACAGGCTTAGCATTGTGGGCTATACCTATTTGATCTAGCAGAGAACATTAATAAAGCAATCTGAAAATAACTATCAAGGAACAGTATGTAATTGTCGCTGGGTTGAAACCAGAGATAAGCCTGCAGGAGGTAATTGGAGCTGCCACTTTTTCAGGTGTTTTCACTTGATTTTCCATCACCTCCCCCCTTGGTCCAAACTATTTAGCAGGGTTCCCCAAACCTAGGAAAAGCCTTTTTAGAAGGGCAGACCGGAAGGAAGAGGAGGTGCCAGAAAGCTCATTTTTTGCTCACCACCTTCTGCAGACTGATCTCTGGATCCAAACCTCTATACATTCACACAGTTACCTGTTGAAGGACTGTCACTCCTGCTCCCCAGCCGGGAAATGTATATAAAAGTTTGCTTTGGTGGGGGGAGAGAAAGAGGTTAGTGAATTTTAATGCCATGAAACAAAACTACATCAGAATGGATGTTAAACACAAAACCAGCATTTGCAGAAAAAATTCTTAAAACTTCTGGGGTGCTATTTATTGGGGTGGGGGGAATACTACTAGCATTGTCTTAGGCTCCAAGAAGTAAGAGCAGGAGGAAACTCCACTCATGCAAAGTGCCTCTGCCCAATCTTAGCCAATTCCCACTTCCCCAGGACTCCTCTGTCCTCATAGCATTTCTTTCAGGAGAGCTCCTTTCTGGTAGAGACCCAGGAGCCTGCATTGGGAAACAAGGGAGAGGAAAGCTACGGCGGTTCAATCTTCTCACAGTTGTCAGGGCCACTGTCTCTATGCAAAGACACCCCTAAGACAATACTCATCAATGTCACCAATAGGTGCATAGTGCAAGTCTCATTTAAATAAAACTAAACAAGGAAAATAGTGCTCGTGACGTTGGCCCATATTTTTAGATCAAAACGACGTAACCCTTCTACTGTCTTAGAAACATAAACAAAATCCATGCTCACTTCAAATATTCTCAGTTATTTCCTATGTAATTTGAACAGGCTCGTTGCTAAACAAGCCCTTCAGTATAGCTTTAGTTTGAGAACCACTAGCATGTGATTGTTTCACTTATGGCCATATTTACGATTTAGTCTGTTAGAATCAAACAACATTGGAAAATTGTCCACCTCCAATCCATCAGCGTTCTGCATTAATTCCACATTTTACGGGAGTAAATGACTGATAACCAGGCTAATACATTTGTAGTTTGGGTCAGGAAGTTGGGTGGGGGAGAGAGACATGTTCTTACTTGGATTTTACATTCCACAACTGTAGATTTCCTTGTTCACTACCAAGAAGAATTTTATTCAAATAGGTACTTGGGTGCATAACTGCAGAAACAGCAAACACTGTCTTATCAAAATTCATCTGCAAGTATTCTTCTGCAGGACAAAGAAGAGCATTAGCTGCCATATATGCTACAAATATGTTTTAAAAATTTATTTCTCTGAATAGTTATTACTTTAAAAAGGGTCAAATATTACCTTCAGTCTGTACATCCCAAATAATGAGAATGTTATCACGATCAACAGATATCAAATGATCCCCAAATGGCAGTATAAGGTGAACATCTGCTCTGTGACCTTTGTAAGTGTGAACCACCTGCAATTCAAAGTATCTTAGTTATTTCCTTAGAGGTATGAAATCATATCTGGACATGAAGTGCCTTCAGCACTATTTAGAACAGGTATAGGAAGCCTGAGGCCCTCCAGATGTTATTACTTCAACTCTGATCAGTTCCAGCCATAGTGAGGGATGAAAGGTTCCCTGACATTGATGGGAAAGGCATAGGTCGAAAGGCAGAATACAAGTATAACATACAGCCCAAACTGGATTCAAGAGTTATAATATGACCCATACAAGATCCCAGCTGTACCAATTTCAGAATTAATATTTTAAACAATTCCAAATGTAAACCAGATACAGTGGTGCCCTGCAAGACGAATGCCTCGCAAGACGGAAAACCCGCTAGACGAAAGGGTTTTCCGTTTCTGAGTTGCTTCGCAGGATGAATTTCCCTACGGGCTTGCTTCGCAAGACGAAAATGTCTTGCAAGTCTTGAGATTTTTTTTTCGCTCCCCCCCCCTTTTTCTAAGCCGCTAATAGCCTTTTAGCAGCTAAGCCGCTAAGCCTTTAATAGCCGCTAAAACGCTAATAGCGCTAATCCGCTAAGCCGCTAATAGGGTTGCTTCGCAAGACAAAAAAACCGCTAGACGAAGACACTCGAGGAACGGATTAATTTCGTCTTGCGAGGCACCACTGTATTGACTGTAACATCATACTAAGGTTTCAGAGCAACTCCAGCCCACCTTTGAGATATGCAGCGGCAAATCACCCATACATTAATAATACAGCACCCATATCCTGAATACAAATGTATACTCAAAAGCAAGTTCTATAGAATTCTGTGAACTTCAACTACTCCCAGGTTTGTGGATACAGGTTTGCAGCCTAAATACTTTCAGGATCCGATACAAATTGGAATATCTTGCTTAATAATTATACAAACCTCTTTGTTCCGAGCAAAAGCATGGAGAAGACTGCCACAAGATGCAAAGACCAACATTCTGTCCGCTGCCAAAGAGGTAATGTCCTGTGGCAAAGCATTGCCTAAAAGATAAGGGAAACAAAAAGAGCAAGCTCTATCAATTTTAAAGTACATACAGCAAAGAAGACACATTGTGATGTATTGATAATTTCCCTCAACATTGCAGTATACTGAAAACAATGCTACTAGAAATACACACACAAAATGTCGACACATGCTTAGAACTAAAACACACAACTTACTGTGTGCTCCATCAGTAAGAATGACCAGAAGGCACATTCATTTGAATGCTCTAAGATAAACAGGACTTAAAACACAAAGTTTACTCAGACACAAGTTCCTCCAGTGCATGGTGGAAGGGCAACAAGTTTTAATTTATTGTTATTACTCCCAAGTAGAGTCAGTTAAGAGATTTTCTGCCTCAGATGTCCAATTAAACTTGGGTACAAAACACTCCATTTTGTAGTGGATTTTACAACTTTTAGCACGATTTTTGTACATAAACAGTATCCACCGCAACTTACAATTTGTAAAGAAAGATACAAAACTAAACCACATATTAAATGCACATACATAGAACAATATACTTACTAACAGCAACTATGCCTAGTCTCTTCACCTGCAATAAAAGAATATTTTTTTGAAAAATTGTTCAGTATTACAATTATTAGACAAGTTATAAATGTTTCTGGAGAAAAGAGACTAATGTGCATGGAAGATGGGCATAGTTATTCATGAAATAACTGCTGTAGTTAGAAAAGTTATAATAGTAATGGAACTGGCCTCTTGTTAAATCTGTGGAAAAACACCCCTTTACTTTAATGAAATTCAGCTGCACTCTTTCAGATTTACATGCACCATGATATGAAAACATTTTATGTTACACAACAGCTGCAGTCCCATTCATTTTGGAAAGGATGTGAAAATGAGGATTATCTTGAGTGATATAGAACAAATTATTTTGTATAGCTGCAAGTCAAATGTTATGCAACAGCACAAGCCCCACTCCTTTCGTAAAGGATGTGAAAATGAGATTATATTGAGCAGCACAACAACAAAAAATCCAAGTCACATTTCTCTCTTCCTTTCTCAGTGATGTATTTATGTTCCCACTCCTTCCTCTTCATTTAGAAATTACAGTCAATTTGGAAGTTCATCAAGTTGTTATGAATTAATTAATCTTTATTTGCGTCAGCCATCGGCCATAGCAATAAAAGAACAATGTAATATACAAAGAACAGAAATAAAAGTCAATTATATAAAACACACATTACAGTCCTGAATCAAGAGTCAAAGAGTGGACCTTATTTTGATTGCCCCAGCTAAAAACCTTGCAACCTTTGCTGTCATCTGCTCATCTTGATCTGCCAAGAGAAAAGACACTGTGGCAGTGGTTGGACGACCCAGAATGAACAATATAAGAAGGGTGATAATCTCATTTCTCAAGTCTTTATAAAAAGTGCAAGTGCCACTGATTCAGTACTGCCATCTCCACAGGGACATAAGCGTTTTTCATGTTGAATTTGTTGGAATCGTTCCTCAAGAACCGCCGAGGGCTATATTTTGGAATTGCTAGGTTATGCAGATAGGGTGCCAGAAAGTCGAAATGGGAAGGTGTAAAATAGTCATACCATGGGCAAAATTTCCTTACTGTGGCTAAGTTGTTCTGACACTTGATATCATTAGTCACTGACAGATTAGACTGTTTGCTTTACTAAAACCCAAGGTGAGTGAGTAGCTATTGTGGTGATAAACCACAAGAGTGAAGTTTTTGACAATTTTAGACCAGGCACTCTTGTGACAATCTTGCAGCACCAGGGATATTAGACGGGGGATTTGAGTGTCCTATGCCAGATCCGTAATTCTACCGATGAAAGATTAGCCTCTAGGCCAGGGGTCAGCAAACTTTTTCTGTAGGGGGCCAGTCCACTGTCTCTCAGACCTTGTGGGGGGCCGGACTATAGTTTGGGGGGGGGGAATGAATGAATGAATTCCTATGTCCCACAAATAAACCAGAGATGCATTTTAAATAAAAGGACACATTCTACTCATGTAAAAAAAAAAAAAAACTGATTCCTGGACCGTCCGGGGGCCAGATTTAGAAGGCGATTGGGCTGGATCCGGCCCCCAGGCCTTAGTTTGCCTACCCATGCTCTAGGCGCAATGATGCATTTGGGACACAGGGTGGAACAGAAAAAAATTGCCTTAAGAACTTTTGATTGGACAGCTTCCGTAGAACCAAGGTAAGTGCCAGTCCAAATCTGAGCCCCATATAATAAATGTGCTAGGGGTTTAGCTTGGAACACTTCAAGGACTGAGGGTATATGTTTGCCACCTTTTGTGCGAAAAAAGCGTGTCAGAATTTTGGCGCTTTGAGATGCTCTTTCTTTTGTACATTTCTGGTTGCTAATGAAGAATGGCATGATGAAACTGCCTTTCACTGTGGTTTGTCCTTTGTATCGGATATTAAAGAGATATGCAGCACCCAAACATGGAGGTTCCATGTAGCCATAGCCACTTTCACACTTTTCTCCTTTATGATTTTGTCTAACCTTCCATAAAGTTGTTCGCTGAACGACACCATGCTTTAAGCGAACTATTACAACAAGTAGAACAAAATCCTTTCATGGCTGGAGCAGGCAAAATGCACTGGGTGTGCACCCCGCTGAATCACGAAGCTCATTGGGTGACCTTAGGTCACACGCAGCTGCTTAGTGTAGCCTACCTTACAGGGCTGTCATGAAGGTAAAATGGGGAGGGGGAAGAACCGTGAGAAGCCACCTCAAGCTTCTTAAGTGGAAAGGTAGGATGCAAATGTGTGTGTTTTTTTAAAAAAAGTCCCCCCTACAAATCTCGCTCATTTGAGGCTTTGCTTGGAGGTTTCCAATTCTCTTATGAAGCTACCGAGGATAAGGACGGCCACATTTAGTGGCAGTGAACCCCATAAAGTAAATAGGCATTAGGTGACTAAGAAACTCTCATTTTTTAAGCTTCCCGTATAGCTGAACTCGAAGGGACACAGGTGGCGCTGTGCATTAAACCACAGAGCCTAGGACTTGCCAATCAGAAGGTCGGCGGTTCAAATCCCCGCGACGGGGTGAGCTACCATTGCTCGGTCCCTGCTCCTGCCAACCTAGCAGTTCGAAAGCACATCAAAGTGCAAGTAGATAAATAGGTACCGCTCCGTGTGCTGCTCTGGTTTGCCAGAAGCGGCTTAGTCATGCTGGCCGCATGACCTGGAAGCCGTACGCCGGCTTCTTCGGCCAATAAAGCGAGATGAGCGCAGCAACCCAAGTCGGCCACAACTGGAACTAATGGTCAGGGGTCCCTTTACCTTTATAGCTGAACTCAGTTGTTTGACTCTAAACCAGTGTTTCCCAACCTTTTTTTTTCTGGCCATGCCCCACCTAAGCATCTCTAAAACCCTGATGCACACATACACCCGGTGACATTTAATTCCTATTGTTCAAAAAGCGAACTCCTATTCTCCTGAAGCCTAAAAGGCGGCACCATTATCTGTTAATAACTCATTCTCGAATTGCCACCAGCCCACTCCCGCCCTTAAATATCAAATGGCCCCCCTCTGTGGGGCGTGTGCCCCACGTTGGGAACCACGGGCAGTCTAAGCAAAACACCTGCGACTCTTCCAGCCTCTCAACGAATGGTTTTGGGAGGGTTTAAGGGAAGCATGTTCAATTTATGCCCCTCGACCCCGCCCCACTCTCCCCACACTTTCTGCTTTCTGCACTTTCTGCTTTCTGCACTTTCTGCTTTATGCACGCAGCAAGCAGGTTGAAACACGAAAGATACCCCCCGTGTCCGGGGTTTTGGGGTCGGACTCACGTTGTACGTGTGGAAGCTCTTCCCCACCGCGGTGACCAGGTAGAACTCCCGGTGGCGGCGGTGGAAGCGCACCACGTGCGCCAAGTGGTTGGAGTAGAGGCCGAGCGCGCGGAAGCCCGCGAACAGAGCGCTGCCCCCCTCGCGGCTGCTGCCCTCCGACGACATCGCCTTCCTTTGCGGGGGGACGGGCGACCACCGGCACGCGACCACCAACCGCTCCGAACCACGTTCCCCGCTGCGCGTGCCGGACGCTCCGCGCAGGGAAAAAACCAACCCGGCGTCCTCCGCTGCTTCCGGCCCTTGTGTGCGTTTGCAAAAGTGGCTCGGCTTGGCATCACGCGCTGGGCACTTTAGTTCCCACCCCGAGGCGAGCGGGGTCCCCTGCTTTCCTAGGCAGTGCTGGGCAAGGATGCAGGGCAGACGCGTTGCGTTTGGGTCCCGATGGCTTTTCCAATAAAGAAAAAAAAAAGGGGGAGAAAGCCATTTACGTATAAGCTAAAGAAGCTGTAGCTTAGGGCCCCACTCTCTTGGGAGCTCCCCCAAAAATTGAAGGGGAAAAAACTGGATGTACATTTCCAAAATATAAGATAAATAAAATAAAACCTACATGTAGCAACAGTGTTTTGTGTTGTGTAGGCTCTTATGATGTACATATTTTGTTATGTGCAAATGGCTTTAGATACCTATTATAGGTCCATAAATTACCATATAGCATATATTCAACTCAAAAAACCAGCGGCAATTTGTTGTTGACAAAGGACAGCTGGACATATAAAGGGCCCCATTACCTTTATATATGAGGAGCTTATGGCCTCATCAAATCTTAATCTGGCCCTGAAAATGACCATTTAGTCTTTCCAATGAGTTTTCTCTCTTTCATTAGAATAATGCAGCCCATGGATTACTGAGTCAACATGTACTTATGAGCATAGAATAGGTTTTATGCCGTTTTAAACTGCTGTGACTTTTCCCCTAAGAAAAGGGGGTTGTAATATTGTGGGGGAGCTTGCCATTGATTGATTGATTGAATTTATATACTGCCCTATACCAAGAGGTCTCAGGGCGGTTCATAGAAAAGATCATGGCAATTCCTTTTATTTGCTGTCGACCTCATAACCTCCAATGAAAATAGGGACATCCCAACATTATTCCGATGAAAATAGGGACGTCCTAAGGATAAAGCGGGATATACTGGGATCAAATCAGAAACTGGGACGGCTTCTGTAAATCCAGGAGTGTACCTGGAAAACAGTGTAAATCCAGGAGTGTACCTGGATGATAAAATAAATTTTAAAAAATTCTTACCTGCACTGATTTGTTTGGATGGGGGGGGGGGCTTTTATTCATTTCCGCAGTCACACAATCAATCAAGCAGTAGCTGAACTGAGTTCCACACAGTCACAAAAACAAATTAACCGAAAAAGCCTCCAAAACAAAAACGCAATATAAATAGCAAAGACAAAAGCACCAAACTTAATCCATTCCGGAAGTCCATTTGACTTCTGAAATGTTTGAAAAGCAAGGCGCAGCTTCTGATTGGTCCAGGTGCCCTGGAAACGATAGCCGACAGCTGCACTGGACGTTTGGCTTCCGAAAAGCATTCAAAAACCAGAACACTTTCTTCCTGGTTTTCAGCGTTTGAGAACCAAAGTGTTTGAGAACCAAGGTGTTTGAGAACCAAGGCATTTGAGAACCAAGGTACCACTCTACTTGTTTAAAGCCCTATATGGCTCAAGACTGAATCTCCCCATATGAACCAATCTGCATCCTGTGTGCTTCGCTAGAGGACTTTCTTCATGTGCCCCTCTTTAAAGGAGTTGTGGAGGGTGGCCATATTACAGCAGGGCTTTTCACCCGTGCTCACCCCATCTGTGGAACGATCTCTGTGGAAAGATGTGCCTGGCACCATCATTGTCAGTCTTTGACCTTGGAATCTTTTTCTTCACTGAGACTTTAGTAATTAAGTTACCTCCTACACTGATGTTCATCTTTTAATGGGGTGAGTAGGGCTTATCCTTAGTAAATTGTTGGATGAACATTTTATTCATTGTGCATTGTTCATTGTTTTACATTTTTTTAAAAAATTAAATGGCTTTTATTTATTGCACTTTAAATTGTTTTGAGATGTTGTATAAAGAAACTGACAAATGTAATAGTAATAACAACAACAACAGAGTCAAAGAATAGTTGAGTTGGAAGGGATACCAAACGTCATCTAGTCCAACCCCCTGCAATGCAGGAAAAACAGCTAACAATAATAGTAATAAGACAGATCACATGCACCAAGTCATGTAGCATGGAGAATACTACTACTAAACTCAGTGCTGGATTTAGGCATCTAAGCAGAAGCTCTATTCAAAGCACACTGTTTCATGCTGATGTCCACTGTTTGATCATAAAGACTAACCTGTAAATTTGTTTATTTGTTTTGCCTTCAATGGGAAGAAGCTGGTTTTAAAAAGGTAAATACAGGCAAAGTGGTTTGATTGACTCCATGGATTTCCTTATTCCCTGACACAAATTGCACAAGATTGTTCACAACTCAGTGTACTGTACATTGCAAAACATTTCATCAAAGCATTTTTATTTATAAAAATATAGACCTCTGGCTCATACAGAAAACATATAAGCAGTGTACAGCAAATATAAAACCACAACATAAGGCAAATATAAAAGCAAGAAACAAAAACATAAGGAGCTGGACACTCACATAAAAGTTATCCCACTGAATTGGTTGTTGTAACAGTAAGTTATCAAAAGACATCTAAAAATGGGTAACAACAGTGCCTGGAAAATTTCTATTAGCAGGGCATTCCAGCTGTGGTAAATGCTCAATTTCTCATAGATATCATTTGGACCTCATTCACACATGGGTAAATTAACAGCATTGCTCCAGTAGATCTCAGTGATCAAGCTGTTGTTAAGGGCTTTGCACATTGATACAAGGACCTTGAACCTAGCCAGTAATTTACTGTTTGAAATATTACTATAAAATAAATTAACACCATCAAATATAAGCCTTGTAAAATGTATGCTGTCTATAAAAAAACCCCCACAGTTTGAAATGTTCACAAAGAATAAATTAACAGCATTAAAAAAATAAACCTTTATAATGCATAAAGTCTGAAAGCTTGCAGAGTTTAGTAGTGATTCATTCACTCAAGGTGATGTATTAACATTTCAAATCCGCATATAGCTGTTCCACATTTCCTCAAGTTCCTTGGATGTGTGAGTCCCACATTTCTCTTTTCTCTGCATGATACACTTTGTGGTGTTCCGAAATCTGACTTCAACCTTCTGAGATCCATTGTTCTGTTGGGCAAAAAAATCATATAGTATTAATTACTCATTTTTAATGACAAATGTAGTTCTTAGTGAACAAGTAGAACTGGATCCAGGAAGTGCTAATTTCTTTTTGATTCAGTAATGATTGATGGTGTACTGGAATTCCATGATTGCTCTATCAGGTTCTCTTTGAAACCTTAATTGATATTATCCCCCTGTCAGTTTATTGTTAACTGAATAAAACATTGAGTAAGCAGCACATTCTTCTCTCCCTGGATATAAAATTATATATACAGTGGTACCTCAGGTTACATACGCTTCAAGTTACATATGCTTCAGGTTACAGACTCCGCTACACCAGAAATATTACCTCGGGTTAAGAACTTTGCTTCAGGATGAGAACAGAAATCGTGCAGTGGCGGTGCAGTGACAGCAGGAGGCCCCATTAGCTAAAGTGGCGCTTCAGGTTAAGAACAGTTTCAGGTTAAGAACGGACCTCCGGAACGAATTAAGTACATAACCAGAGGTACCACTGTATCAACTTTGTCACAGTTTCTATGTTACAAACTCTTTCGACTAATGGCTATTCAACTATGGTTTGTGCTATTCTTTCTGGTGGCTAATATACAGTACAGTATACAGAAAAAAAGGCATCTCAACTCCTTTACACTTTAATGTACACTCACTGAACAAAGAAGAGGTGAAATGAAGTGAAGGAGGGTGCTATCAAGTTTGTATATGACTTTTTTACCAAGATGAGCACAATGACCCTTGTGGCACCTTAAAAGGTAAAGGTACCTCTGACCGTTAAGTCCAGTCGTGTTTGCGGCGCTCTTCTCGCTTTACTGGCCAAGGGAGCCGGCGTTTGTCCGCAGACAGCTTCCGGGTCATGTGGCCAGCATGACTAATCCGCTTCTGGCGAACCAGAGCAGTGCATGGAAACGCTGTTTACCGTTCCGCTGGAGTGGTACCTTATTTATCTACTTGCACTTGACGTGCTTTCGAACTGCTAGGTTGGCAGGAGCTGGGACTGAAGAACGGGAGCTCACCGCGTCGCGGGGATTCGAACAGCCGACCTTCTGATCGGCAAGCCCTAGGCTCTGTGGTTTAGACCACAGCGCCAGCCACGTCCCTGTGGCACTTTAAAGACTACCAATTTTATTATGGCCTAAGTTTTCATAATCATTATTCATTAATTTATATCACAATGCCAAAATAGGCTTCTAGGCATTTACAAGGCAACGTGCTCAGGTGTTCCTTGACTACACATCAGATGCATAAAATGTTACCCTGGTTTGCAAACAGTAGTACTGTAGTTAGCAAGAAGGAATGTTCACCTGGCTTTCCATCGGTGAGCATCATTGCCAGTTACCAAGAGGGAGAGGCAGCCAGGAGCTCAGCATGGTTTGGGCGCAGCAGTGAAGCCAATCCAATGTTCCCGCTGCCACACCCATGCTGCATTGAGCTCCCTGCTTCCTCCTTCTCAGTAACCAGCTGTGACGCTCAACATCAGGAAGCCACTTGTGCAACACGATACCACTGACAGCTACTGGTTGCAGGTATAATACCTGATAGATAATGCTGGAGAGGAAGCATGCTGGCACCAATGACATGGGGAAGGTTTGGGAAGTAAAATTTACGTTACTAGAGAGAATGTCGTCAGCCAAGACTTTCAAGGTAGCTTTCTCTGGAATGCTACTGGATTTAGAAAGGTGCAGTAGTGTAGTCTCAATACACGGATGAAACAGTAGTGTTGAGTCTAGAGGGCACCGAGTCCAGCAATCTAGAAATTCAAAAAGGGGCAGACTTCTCCACTTAATTGTTGTGGGTGGTGATAATTTAGTACTGGGAGCATGCTATCATCCAGCTAACCAAAATGTTCAGGGGAGATTCTGAGAGGAAGAATGAAACCAAGGAAGCATTCAAAAGAGGAAAGGTAGGAATGGGTGATTTTACATAGTGTGTGGTAATCACCACAAAGAGGTAAAATGTCTACATATCCACAATGCTGTGCCCTAGAACTGACTAGCAAGCTGTAGGTGCTTTTGAACTGATTGGGAACAATGAACAGATTGCTATCAAACTCAGTTGTATATGTAAATGGACAATTGTCCCCAAAATCCAACATAGCCACTTTTGACTTTAAAAGGCGAAACTTCCGCCACAGGCCTGGGCAGGCCGTGTCGTCCTCTTATATACCTGCTGGGATTGACAAAGCTGCCTCTGATTGGTTATCATTTAACTCTCACGGGAAATAATTAGCATCACACGTCATGTGCATGGAAGTTGCCAAACCAATTAACCAACTAGAAGGATTACTGTTAATAGCACCAGTTTTCCTATACTGTAACTTGATATTGCTGAATATGGACAGGCCTATTCACTATGATGTGAGTGAATAGGTGCCTGATCACCCACACAATTTCCCATGTGAAGGGGCCAGGCAGCCACAAATTTTGGTGCCAGCGCCACGCAGGCTACATGGCACCCACAGATGCAGAGCCAAGCTGGCACTCCTGTGTGAGTGTATCACAAGCATACATACACTTGCATTTTTTAAAAGAGCAATCTAAGAATTAGCAGTTGATCAAAGCAGAAATTATAGAACACCAATCACACTCATAGCTGTCAACTTTTCCCTTTTTTTAAGGGAAATTCCCTTATTCTGAATAGGATTCCTCGCAAGAAAAGAGAAAAGTTGACAGCTATGCACACTAGATTAGAAAAGTGGTCTGTCGCTGTTGCGTGATTGCCCCAGGAGGGCTTTAACGCTCCTCCACCGCAGTGTATTTGCCCAAGGCAAACGCCGGATCATGCATGAACCAACGTGGGTTAGCACATTTCTGTGGACTTTATTTCCACGATTGGCATCAGTTGCGCCTGGGCTCGGCCCTAACGCCCGCAAGCGCAGCTCCAAGCATCTTTGAAAAGCGAGAGCTTCTTTTTTCCCCCTCCCTCACCACAAATATTCCCTTTCCATCTGGGATTAGGAAGCAGGGCTGCTAGATCACACACCGTCACTTCCACGCAAGCCCTGCGCCCCCGCACCTCTCGGGTCAGAACTTAAGCTCCAGCCAAAGCCCGGTCCGGTGCCAAAGTGCCGTCTAAGCAGGAAAAACTTTGAAGAACCGCGCGCTAAGGAGCGCAAACTGCAGCCCTGCACACCTGCTTGCCCCAAGCGGAGTGTGTGTGTGTGTGTGTGTGTGTGTGTGTCTGTCTGTCCCGTCCCCTGTTCTTACCTCGGAGTAGCCTCCGCAGTTTCCCTCCAGGAGAGCAACAGTGCCTTTCCAGATAACTAGGTGCTGCTTGGAGACGCACGATTTCGTAAAGCTGTGGATGCAAGCCAGCATTGCGCCCCGCTGCTTCCAGCGGCAGAAGAGAAAGCAAAAGAGAGAAAATTTGGCACGTTAGTGACGCAACGCCTTGTCGGGAGAAGGGAAACGGCTCATAGCTGCCAGCCGGCACCGCCTCCCGTCCGCGCCCTGGGTGCAGATCCTGCCAACAACTGCAAAGAGAGGTCCTTTCCCGGCGCGCATTGGAATAGAGGGCGTCGAGGGCGCGTCACTCTGCGGGTTCAGGAAGAGGTCGGCGGTTTCCGGGCAAGGAGGGGATGCTTAGGGAATGCGGAGAAATGTAGACCATTTCCCCCCGTTTCTGAAGCTCGCATTTATTGCTCAGGTATTATTTCTGTTCTTAGAGGACCATCGAGGTGCGAAGCTAATCTGGATACTTAAAGATGATGGCTGGATTTACCGAACTGGAATCACAAGGATGGAGCACGTGTTTTTCCTGCAGAGGATTCCAGGTGCAAGCCCGGGCATCGGGTGCAGTACGAGGACGATATTGAACAAGACTAGACGGACCAGTGAAGAAGCCTAGACGTTCATAAGGCTATGCTTTTATCTTCGTGAAATGAAAACGTCATGCTGTTGAACTCTGGAATTTTTCCTGTTTCTATATCTTCTGCTCTATCTCATTGAGAGTGCAAGGAGGGAAGATCTCTGATTCATTATAAATGTCATGCTTTTAAGATTATTTTGAGAGATTTAAAAAAAAATGTTTGACAGGGACTTTAATACTGAACCAGATAGATCAGGTTTGGCACTTGCAGCAACCTTTCAGACTTTTCACTCAAAGAATATAAATACAGTAATGCTTTCAACATAAAAAATTCCTTCCAGTAGCACCTTAGAGACCAACTAAGTTTGTTATTGGTATGAGCTTTCGCGTGCATGCACACTTTTTCAAATACACACGAAAGCTCATACCATTAACAAACTTAGTTGGTCTCTAAGGTGCTGCTGGAAGGAATTATTTTTATTTTGTTTCGACTACGGTAGACCAACACGGCTATCTACCTGTTACTTCCAACATATATAGTCTATTGTGCCTTGAGGCATAGTTGGAAGGAGAAGAAAGGAACAAATACAGTATGTGTGTGGAGTCTCGATGGTTAGCAGTGTCATTTTCCACTTTGCCATTATGCCCTCCAGGTTGCCATAAAGCACAATACTGTACAGTATTAGATTTGCAAGCTACATCTAAACATAGGGAACTACTCACCTCCAGCTCTGGGCAGCAATTCATAATGCGACCTGCCTGGAGAGAAATGATAGACCAATTTTGGCATTTGGAACAGCCTTAAAGTAGACTTTAAAAAGAGATAATTTTGCATGCGCATTATAAAAGTTTACAGACACATAACTTCACCCTAAAATACGAAAGTATCCTGTCAATCTAGGTCATGGGGAGCCTTCTGAAACCTTTTAGCTCGAAATTATTAATAATTAAATGATAAGATGCAATCAGAATCAATTTATTAATAGTTATCACTTCTATTAAATTGTGAATGCAATGCATATGCATGAAAAAGTTTTATCTTGTTAGCCGCTTCTGTCCCTTTTTCTCCAGAAACAATTCCTTGCTCACCCCCCCCCAATTCAAATGGTTTCTCAGAATAGTGGGTTCCATTGGATATTACACACACACACACACACACACACACACACACACACAAATATTGCAAAATGCTCACATTACAACATTGCACCCATAGAATGTCCACTATAAATTTGATCCAATTTTTGAGGGGGTAGGAGAGAAAAAGGAACAAAAGAAAACAAACCTTTATTTTATTATTATTTCCCTTCAAGATAATCTGAATATCTTTCTGAAAGAAATTAGAGATGAGTTTTTTAAAAAAGAGATGCTTACTGAACAGGTTAGAAAATGTAATAAATTCAACGTACTACAACTGAATGCTTTAGTTCCTCAAACTCCATACTTGTTAATTAGGGAATAAGTCCCTTGGGTATTGATGAGACTTATTTTCAAGTAATATATATATAAGATTGGGCTGTTAGGCTGCAATCCTGTGCTCGATTCATAGGACTTACTTCTGAGTAAACATACGTAAGATCAAACTACATTTCCGGGTTAGGGAGTGAGGGATCTGTTTTCAGCCATCCAAAATTTTCTGTGTCCCTACAGAAATAAACTTACTACATTTGAGCATTATAGTTTCACAGTGCAACCTATATAAACAAGTCTAATAAAAAGTAAACCAGTTATCTTAGGTAAGTGAGTGTAGGATTGCAGCCTAATTTATTAAGAATTGATCAGTACATTTTCACTTCACAATAGGAAATGTCTTTGAGAGTAGAGGCATCGTTCTGTTCTTCTGAAAATACAACCTGAAGTTCAGAACTCTACAATTTTTAATACGTTTCTGCCTTTTGGTTTATAATTACAGAGCTTGCTAAACACTAGATATTCTGCCATCAAGCTCTCCCCCCCCCAATACACTTTACAATCAAATGCATTTTAGTGCAATGCTATATCATACCTGGAGCAGACTCCGGTAGCCTCTGATGATATCCGTGTGGTTACATCTAGTAAAATTGTAAGCTGCAGTGATGTAGGAAGACAAATGTGCCAAGGCAGTACATTGAAGAAAGAAAAGAACCTTGGAAGAGCCTGTAAGGAAGTTGCAAAACATTAAAAGCTGTATCATGATGCTCTTTTGGCAGCTAAATTAAACTGAAATATCAGGCACTAAAAGCTTATTAGAGAGGGATGGAGGGATGAATGAATTGGTGCTCTGAGGGCTAAAGCATTAGAAAAGCAAGTCCATATATTTACCCATGATGTCCCTTGAGAACAGACTTTTGCTTCCGAGTTCCTTGCCTTGGTGTCTCCCTTTATATTTACCTTTTCACCAGCGTTTCCCCATTCCAAGCATGTCAGATTGAAAGGATGCATCACCTGTCTGTAAATAAGTTACAAATTTCCTAAGAAGGAGATGGGGGGTGGGAACCCTTTGAAAAACACTCCCAACCTTGGAATCTTATCAAACATTTAGATCAGACTATTTAAAAAATATTCCCCCAGGATCTAAGCATATATTGCCGAATTACATCACTAACTTAAAAAAAAAAAAAAGCTAGACAAGTATTAGGCATCCCTACACCATAATGAAACCTCCATAAATTAGAGTAAAATGGCACACAAACAAAACTGACATATTGCATCACCTATTACTCATTTTGGATTTTCCTTCTAAAAGTGGGTTCAAAGTTCACTTTGTCACTGAATCATACATTTTACTACATTGTTGTGTGATCACTTAGCACATAGTTTCTCTTTTTCTTTTAAATTTTTTTATTAACAATTTCAACATAACAAATTAGCAAAACGTATCATATTCATTATTTCCCCCTTTTTTCCCCACCCCCCATCAAACCCTCCCTCCCTCGCCACCCCAAGACTTCCCTCAGCCCCTCTCTCTGATTTCTCAGCACATATTATTCTCTGCATACTGTAAAGTTGTATAAATCCTTATATTATCTGTCTACTATGTTGACAATCAATAAATTTGTGTATGTTTATTCAAAACCTGCCAAGGAGTCCAATTCATTTTGTTTTCTTTTTAGGTAATTTATAAAAAGTTCCCATTCTTCTCTGAAGTCACAGTTGTCCTTATCTCACAGTTTGTATGTCAGTTTAGCCAGTTCTGCATAGTTCATCAATTTCTCTTGCCACTGTTCTTTTGTCAGGGTTTCCTCATTCTTCCATCCTTGTGCTATCAAGACTTTTGCCGCAGCACATGGTTTTTAACATTTTCCCACGTGCTTCTTTAAAATGTACTTTCATGTTCTTTAAAATTACATATTGCATCCAGCTTTGCATGTGTCTATTAGTGGTCAATATACCATATCTTTCTTAAGAAATTAACTAGAAACCAGGAAGGCAAACAACTATTACAGAAATCAGAATAATTACAAAAAGATAAAATTATCCACAAAAAGTGTCAGCTAAGAACATTGATTACACTTCCATGCAAATTGTGCATGTTTTTATCGCAGAACAAACTCCTGCAATCAGTAGCATAACCCTGTACTGCCTAATTGGTTATTTACCTATTTATTCCAGTTAGTCATATCTCTCAATAGGTTACGTCAGTTCAATTACAAATGTCAATAAGCATCGCATACGTTAGTCATGTTTCAAGCGTATGGAGACTTTCCCCTTTCACTAACTAATGAAGCATGCCTCTCCAAAAGCACCAGCACCACAATGGCGCACCACCAGGCACTCTCAGTTCCGATTAATAGCTGCTGCTCTTGCTTTGTTTGCTACACAAATCAGTCTTCATGACAACACACTCCACCTGCTATTTTGCTCTTTAACTCAAGGCTAGCCACACCAGCACAACTGACATATGAGACAACTCAGACCACCAAGGATGGGTGAGTTAACAGAGATGTCTTTAGGGACCAAGTCCCCCAACTCTTGGGTAGTTAAAAAGACAAAGTCCTAGTTGAGAGCAGAGAGTCAGAAAGCTGGGGAGCCAGAGAAACAGAACAATGCTTGGATTGAAGGCTGCAGTTGGGGGGAAGCAAGGCCCCCTTGGGGTGTTAATGCTGTGAACCTGTCCACTGTAGGCTCAGGTTGTATATATGTGTAAATAAGCCGTATATCCTAAAGACACTACAGTCTCCACTGGGCCTCATTCCAAAGGAAACACGAACTCTGGGTAAGTGCATGGAACCCCTGGAATCTCACACCACTTGGAGGTTGGGATGGCATGCAACAATATACTGCTGTAAAAGAGGAGACCTTACTGAATAAATTATGTTAAGTGTCATGGCTATCATTCTAGGGAGCAGTGCTATTTTCTAGAAAAAGAGGTTCTGGAACTCACCATGAACACCTCCCTTGTTCTCTTATAATGGCAATGGTACCCACCTGAGAAGGTGTCGGAACTGTGTTCCAGCGAGTTCTGGCTTAATACAAGCCCTGCCAGGGAGTAGGTATATTACAGGCACAGGAATATGAGAATATAATTGGT